TCCTGTCAGAACAATGGCACCTGTGAGCCCACCACGGGTGCTTGCCACTGTGGTCCTGGCTTCTACGGTCAAGCTTGCGAGCACTGTGAGTGGGGCTCTCCCCTGACCTTGAACACGCCGTCTAGGCTGGTCCTAGTCTGTGAGAGCAATGGCCACTTCCTCAGTCATTGTTCATTGGGATCAGATGGGATGAGCCTGACCCGGCTCTGGGCTGGAGACGCCTGCTCAGGGTCACACAGAATGGGTAGAGATGGGCTCCCCGGCTAGCTCCCTATGTCTCTACCTTGTCATGTGAGCCCTGGCTGGAGCCGGGAAGGAGGGAGACTAGGACATTCCGGACAGGGCGCCTCTCTCAGCTCGGATTTGGCCTTTTGCTCTGGGAAAACTGGGTGGTCTCTGCTGCCTCCTGTGCTCGACTTACTCTAACTAGGGTCCTCCTTCAGCCTGCCCCCCTGGCTTCTATGGATCTGGTTGCCAGGGAGTCTGTGAGTGTCAACAGGGAGCCCCCTGCGACCCTGTCAGCGGCCAGTGCCTCTGCCCTGCTGGGTTCCATGGCCAGTTCTGTGAGAGGGGTAAGTGTCAGGGCCCCCACCCAACCCCTTTACCCTTTCTTTGTCTTCTTTTAATCTGGGGAAGGGAACGCTGAGCCCATTGTCCCCACCAGGGTGCAAGCCAGGCTCCTTTGGAGATGGCTGCCAGCAGCAGTGTAACTGCAACCAAGATGTGCCCTGTGATCCCATCAGCGGCCTCTGCCTTTGCCCACCAGGGCGCACAGGAGCCACTTGTGACCTGAGTAAGTGGAGGGTCCTGCCCAGGGTGGGACATTATCAAATCATGCGGGTTGGGTACCTGCATGCCAGGCCTCAGACTGGGCACTGTAGCTTCCTGCGATCTCTGCTCCAGCCTGCACCCTCTGGGGGCTGCTGGCAGTAGCCAGAGCGTGATCTGCCAAGTGCAGGCACCCATTTACAGCTACCAAAGCGAGGTCCTGCTCTGTGGTAGCCTGCAGTCTCGGGACTCTATCTGGCTATCATGAGAAAGGTCCCAGTGGAGGTGGGAATATGTCCCCGACTTATCAGTCATGGCCATGACCCCCTTCACACCAGATTTCCTGAGGATGGGGGCTCTCTTGTCCTGCTGGGGGTGCAAAAGTGACTTTATGATTTTTGGATCCATGTAGCCTCGGGGACAGCAGCTGTGGCCACTCTACACGGCCTCAGCAATCCAGGCACCGGGCAGGAACGCGTGCCCAGGGCTTGTGACTGATGCTTTTCCATTTAGGAGCTCATCGTTACAGAACACAGGCTTTTAAAAAGTGGTAGGAAGCCGGACGTTGGTGGCGCACGCCTTTAATCCCAGCACTCAGGAGGCAGAGGCAGGTGGATCTCTGCGAGTTCGAGGTCAGCCTGGTCTATAGAGCGAGTTCCAGGACAGCCTCCAAAAACAATACAGAGAAACCCTGTCTCGAAAAGCAAAAAAAAAAACAAAACAAAACAAAAAAGTGGTAGGAACTGTTATCCTTTTGAAAGGAAACTACTTTCCCAGAGGACCTCATGCCACCTGGGCTGTCTACCCATTGTCCAGGCAGATGGGAGGGTTGTTTATGCTTCTCTTCTCCTACCTCCTGCCCCTACAGATTGCAGAAGGGGTCGCTTTGGGCCTGACTGTGCCCTGCGCTGTGACTGCGGGGGTGGGGCTGACTGCGACCCCATCAGTGGGCGGTGCCATTGTGTGGACAGCTATACAGGGCCCACTTGCCGGGAAGGTGAGTCAGGTCCCCCTGGGGGCTGGGGGGAGAGGAACTGAAGACTTCCCTGCCCCTGGCCAGGAACCCACCCCCTTGTCCCCAATACCGCCATCAAGTGGCGGTACCAGGCCAGTCAGTGAGAAACTCGGCCATCCCTTCCCGGCACCCACAATGCTCCCACTCCACACAGCTAGTGTTTGCTGAGTAGGCCTCCTGGCCGTTTCCCGTGGGCAGGACTGCGTTGCACTGCCAGCCCAGAGCACCAACCCTTTCTCTAGAGTGACCTTGCAGATTGCAGGGGGGGCTCACAGACCCACGCGCTGGCAAAGGGCTGGGTGATTCAGCACGGGCGGGTGCTATGTGCCCGTGTGTCCGTGAGCAACAGTGTATTGCATGTCGGTCGGTCGGTCCACGCATGTGCTCCAGGGTGTTGTGAGCTAGTGCTTGTGCACATGTGCTGGCCACTGTGCATGCACCTGTGTGCTCACATGTACCGTGTGCTCCAGGGGTGTGTGTCCACCCGGTGTGCACAGGCGTGCGTGCGTGTGTGTGCGTGTGTCTGTCTGTCTTCCTAGTGTGTGTGCTTCCGGTACACGTCTTCCCCATGCATTCGTGTCCCGGGTGTGCGTGTGCTTCCGGTACACGTCTTCCCCATGCATGCGTGTCCCGGGTGTGCGTCCGCACGGTGCGTGTGCGCGTTTGGGTACATGTTCTGTGGATGTGGGCATGGGCTTTAGGCATGCATTCTCTGGGTGAGTTTGTGTGTCCCGTGTACACGTTCTTCAGGGCACATGTATGCTCTAGATGTGTGCTTCCCAGGTGTATGTGCCCCACGTGTACGTGTGTGCCCGCATCTCTGTGTGCACTGCATGCGTGTGCATGCGTGTGCTTGCTCCAGCGATGCCTATGCACCAGACATGCCTACCATGCTGCACTCGAGTATGTGTGCTACAGTGCATGCCTGTTCCAGTCACGTGTGTTCCAGTACACATGTGTACGTCAGACACGTGCGTGTACACATGCTTTATTGTGTGTCTGTGCCTGTATGTACCCACATGCATAGGCAAGTCGTCCCTTGGTCCCCAAGTCCCCAAGGCCCCATGGGACTGCAAATCCCATCTGCAAGGTAGAGCTGGTTGTATACCGCACCCCTGTGACCAGCCCCAAGCCCTTATGGCATGTCTTGTAGGCTCCCCAAGTCCAATCGGCTGAAGTCTCTGGGAAGGATCTCTGAGAGAGCTGAGGGCCCAGACCCAGGAGTCCTCAGCTTGAAGATCCTCAGTGTAGACTGGATACTGTGTGAATCATTTTCAGCTTCTCTCCAAGGCGATCATCGCCTCGTTTGTTCAGGGTTAGGTTGCAATTTGCTAACGAGTGCCTGGATGCATAATGCTATCTATCCACAGTGACACCCAGTGGTCAGATATGGTACTACACCCTAGGGCACCACACGTCCCAAGCCTTGACATATAGCTTGGGATCTCTAAGGATGGGGCTGTGGGGAGGGCATTGTTGGCCCCCGGGAGTCCTGGGATAGCCCTTTTCCCTGGGGTGGGGCTTGGCTTAACCTTGGGTGAAGTTTTTTTCCCACCCAGCCTCAATGCCCTATCTCCCACCCTTCTGGGAAGCTGGCAGAGTGGGGCTGTTTACGTGGGAGTAGGATGGAGAAGGTTATGCTGGGGGATGTGGGGCGATTGATGCCTTACTGGCCCATTAATGGTGTCTGTGTATCACTCGGCTCCCTGGGAGCCCAGAGATCAGGCGGAGAACATACTTGCCCAGACACGGCTCTCTGGTTAGGCCCACAGGAGTAGTCCCACACAATGGTGACCACCTTTGCTTCCCTGTGCCTTCAGAACCTGGGCCATGGAGGTGATGGGGCTGGACCATGGAAAAAGGGCTAGACCGTGGATGGGGCTGGACCATGGACATGAGGCTGGACCATGGTGGGAGGGGGATGGGCTAATGCCTTCACTGGGCTTGGCTAATGAAGGAAGATCACCACCTTCATTCTGGAATTGGCTGTCTTGAGGATCCCCCCACCTCCCCACCTTGCTGCTGACCCCTCTTTTCTTCCCATGGCCCCAGTGGCCACACAGCCATCCTCCAGCAGGCCAGCGACGGGGCCATGAAGCACTAGCTCACGGAATCCCTCCACAGAGAGCCACTGCCATGTTGGGGCCCAAGGAACCCAGAGGACACACGTGGGTGAGCCTAGGACTCCTGGATCCACACCCCCTCTGGAAAAGCCATGGATCTCTCTGGAGGGCTGCGGATAGCCGCACAGCCTACCCGCCAAGGACTTGTGGCCATGGAGAAAGGGTCTCAAGTGGACACAAGGAACCCAGGGAAGTAGACCAGGCCCTCAGGCCACCGTTTACATGGGGACCCTGCAGGCTGTGCCGAGGAACCCTGGCCCTCTTCAGAGACCTGGGTTGGGACCGAGGCAGGGGTAAGCAAGGCCCCACCTGCCCGGCAGGTCCTTCTGGTGCTAGGCCGTGGACTGCTGCAGCCAGCGGCTGCTTACCTGGAAACGTAGTCCGGCCTGTATTTATGTAAATGTATTTATGGGCAGCTTCACTAGCCATTGTGGCCCTGGGTCAGCTGGAAACCGCCCCATGCCAGAAGCTTGGACTCGGGCCGGTGAGCCGTGGGTTCTCCATCAAGTGGGATCGAGAGTTTTGTAAAGTCCTGTGAGTTAAAAGGCACAGCGGTGCCCTTGTGGCCTGGGTCTTTGTGCGTTTCATAGACTCTGTGGGAGTCCTCCCAGGAGCACCTGGCACGGAGGGCTCTTGGATGGGATCCTCCCCCCAACCAGGGAGGCCCAGGTGAGTTCTGCACCTCTAATGACAAGTGCCACACCAGTCACACTGGGATTCTTCTAGCTTCCAGCTCTGGGGTCATGAGTCAGCTCCTGGCCAAGGTGAATTATCCCTAGAGCATACACTGGTAGTGCTCAAGACACCTATAAGAGACCTGGAAAGTGACTTCCTGTAGGAAGAATGGGCAGGGGCTGGTGTGGGAGGGAATCCATGCTTAACCCAAACAGCCCACCCCTGCCTCAACAGGGGGAGGGACAGGCTGGTGCCACAGGTGTGGCCCAGAGCAGAGCTGCAGACGGCAAAAATTGGGGGAGCGCTGGACTTAGACCTGAGACTCTGCTGCCACTCAGGGTAGCCCCTTTGCTTTGGATCTAGGTAGCGGCAGCCTCTTCCCTGTCTCCCCGTGACCTAAGCTCAGGTGCAAACCCAAGTTTTAAAGAAACACTTTAATGCCATTTAAACCCTCCGTCACAGTATCCCTGCTGGCACCTCGGGTCACCTTCCAACAACACAGGCCCTTCCTGTCCCACTTGGGAAAGAGAGGCCCATCTGGGAGGTTGCCCCGTGCTGTCTTGGGTAAAGGCAGATGTCCTGTATCGCTCTTAGCCTGGCTGCAAGCTCAGGTGGCCAGGAGCATCCAGAAAAAGGGGCAGCCAAAGGGAGAGGCCAGGTTGGGCTCCTACCACAACGCAGGCCCCTGTAGCTCCGCCCGGAGCCTTCCGAGAAGGCGGTGGGATGGATGGATGCCCTGCACGCAACCTCGAGGCTGCGGGGAAGGCCCACAGTGCACGTGTGTCCCGGGACAAACTTCTCGGGAGTCAGGCAGAACCACAGGCTGAGGGACTGACGCCGTGTCCGCCATGGCGGGTTTTTTGTTTGTTTTGTTTTTGGCGCGGCCCAGCTACACATCCGTCTCCACCCGCAGCCGCTCCATCCTGCGCACGTTGCCCTCCACCGCCATGCGGCTGGTGATGCAGCGGGCAAAGCCCTCAGGAAACCAGCCGGTTTCTCCATCCCGAAGCCTCTCGCCATGTAGCCAGCCTGGATGCACAGGGGTAGATGAGAGAGGAGTCCGTCCCCCGCCCCGCACCTCCCATCCCTACCTCTGCCCTTGAGGGTTCTAGGGCCTGGGTGACCATTGGAACCGACACCCCCCCCTTCCTGCCTCAAGAGCACCTAGACAAGGAGGCATCACTCAAGGCCACGTGGGCACCCAGCCCTCCCAGCAGCTCCATCACTGGGGACGGGGATGGGGGTGGGGGCTGCACCCACTACTCCACCATGACCTGGGCCCTGTAGAGAGAGGCCTATGCTGGGACCACCAGGGGAGCGGATACCCATTTGCTTCACTTAGGGGTGTCGGTGATGAACTTTCCAAATCTCTTTGTCCCAGTACCTACAGTCCTCCCTTCGAGGAGTCTGAGTGCAGCTGTGTTTGCGCATGGATGCGTGGATCCACATCCATGTGCACCCATGTGCAGGGAGGCCCAAAGAGAGCCTCAGTTCCTCAGTCTCTCATCAGCATGGAGCTTGCCAATTAGGCTAGGCTGGCTGCTCAACGAACCCTTAAGATTCATTTGCATGCCTCTGCTTCCCTGGCAAATGGTGACGCAGACTCATGTGCCACCGTACCCAGCTCTCTTTCACGTGGGCTCTTGAGTGCGAGAAATCAGGTCCGACTGAGCCATCTCCCCAGTCCCAACCTTTGGGGGAAGTTCACCGCTGGTCGCTGTACCTCAGGCACACTCTGCACCCTTGTCTGGTTGATGCCCACCTAGGTGTGGCCCATCCACACTCACCGTCCTCTTCCTGAAGGACCAGGACAACATCAGCCTGCTGCAGTGTGATCTCATCAGCCTGCTTGGCAAAGTATGCCTTGGTGATCTCCACCTGGGGCAGTTCTGCGGGGGTGGGGGGTAGAAGAGAGAGGGCTAGGAGGGTGGTATTCCTCTCCCACAGACACGTAGTGTCAGCTGTCCCAAGCACAAGACGGACAGCTGCCCCTGGCATGAAGACTGGCCTTCCAGGGGTGCGGGGCAGACACCTGCAGATGGACTTCTCTCCCTTAAGGGCCCGAGGTGACATTTCGATGGGCAAGCCTGTTCTGTTGCTTAGGACCGTCTCCCCGGCTGCAGGGCTTCAGGGCCAACAAGGTTAAGCTGTGGCTACCTGTACATAGTCACAAGTGCATACAGGGGCCACGGTCCAGGCCCCTGGGGAAGCTGTGGTGTGGCCTGAGGATCTAGGACAGACCATCTCTACCCCAGGGCTGAAAAACCCTGCAGACCCCATCCCTCCACTCACCTCCTTTGTTGGCGATGCCCTGCCACTCCCTCTCCTTGTAGGTGAGCGATGTGATCCACCGGGCCCGGTCACTCCTAGAGGCCAGAGAGAGCATAGTCGAGACCCTCCCTCCCTTCCTTCCTTGGGGTCCATGAGTTCTAGGTCCAAGATTCACTGGCCATGCTGACCTGCCCTAGTGTGCGCTTCAGCTCCTGACATGGCCCATGTTGCCTGGCAACATGGGACTCCTGCCTCAAGGCCTTTGCACAGTGGTGCAGCGGCTGAGCCTCTCTCCCTCCTGGCTTCACCACCACCCGGACAGTGATGAAATACCCATCAGTCACATCCATCCACACCCATCCTTTCTTCCCCTTGAAGCTCCCTCCCTGGTTACCGGACAGCACAGCTATTCACCGTCTGGTGTCGCCCCACGAGGAAAACAAACACCCAGGGACAGGCTGCCGTTTTTGCTTATGGCTCTGCCCGGCCCTGACAGTGCTCAGCATACACGCAGGCACTCGGTCACAGCACACCCCATTCTCATGGGGCCCCTGCTCGCACAGGTGCTCCCCTCGCATGCAAGCTGGGCCCAGCATCTTACGCAGAGTCAGAGGACAGCAGGATCTGCTCCTGGCGGCCCTCACTGTTGCGTAGCAGGGTCACTTGGAAGGGGTGGGGCACGGAGGAACTTCGGCTGCTGCCCCCTGGCAGTGAGGGCTCTGAGGCCTCCAGCTTCCTGACCTGTATGTGGTCTAGCTGCGCATAGTCTTGGACCAGGTAGCTCTCCTCGCTGTGGGGACACAGGAGAGTCATTAGGGCCAGGAGCCAGTTAACCTCAAGAGTGCTCCTAAGACTTGTCTCCTGGGCCTGGGGACAGCTTCTGTGGCCAGGGAGGAAAACCCAGGCCTGCCAGAAAGCATAGACCTGACTCTGTATAGAGTCCTGTGGCCGTCCCGGATCAAGTGAGGTGGGGGGGGGGTCAGGGCCACTCCGGGCTGCTCTCTAGTCTTGATGTCTGCAGCCTAGTGCCTACCTCTTCTTCTTGGTGACAACCAGGACGTCGTTGAAGAGGAACAGGTAGCATGTGGGCCGGCTGGCGATTTTCCGAAAGATACTGGATTCCTCCAAGAGGAAGACCTCCCCGCGCTTCAGCAGCCAGCGAGAGGCGGAGATGAGCGGGAGGGACTAGAGACAGAGCGGGCAGATGAAGGAGCAAGGTGGGGGTGATGGTAGGGACAACCCCTGCCTCCCTGGATTGAGCCGGCTGTCCCCGTTAGGACTGAACGGAGAACCCAATGAGATATTCCTGAGCCTTAAGGAACGGCCATTCAGTTGGCCCACAGGTACCAGGGGCAGACCCTGGGCCCTGTTCTGCCCTACAGGAGAGCCTTGACCAGCCCCAATCCCCAGGAATGTTCCACCTAAGCTGGGGGTGGGGGCCGGTCCTGGAGAGGCCGTGACAGCCTCCTTGCTCCTGATCTCCCCAGGCAGGTGTCCCCAGAAGCCCCTGAGACTCCCACGATGAGGACAGTAGGGTGGGGCGGGTGGGTTGGCACGGCACCTACCTTGACCTTACCGAAATCCAGCTGCGTGTGCAGTGTGTACATCTGCTCTGTGCGTTCCATTTTGTGGGCCCCCTCGTTGCACTGTTTCACAAGCTGCGGGGGGGGGGGCGAGTCCACGCGCATACACGTCAGAGGCGTGGACGCAGGACCGTGGACGGTCAACGGAGCACCCGCCCTTCCTGTGGCACTGCCCTGGACCTAGTCCCCTTTTCCCCACCAGTGCCACAAGACGTTTGGGATGAATAATCCTGTTAGATAAGCTGGGGTGGGCGTGGGGGCAGAAGTTGCCTCACCTTGCTGATGGCCTTCAGGGCCCGGCTGGCGGCTTTATACCTCTCGGGGTGGCCCTGTGTCTTCAGGCAGAGCGTCTGGGGGGAAGGCAGCAGCTGTAGAAGCCCCTCCCGAAGAGCCCTGAATGGGGCAGGGGGCTCCCCACCAGTTCCAGACTCTGGAAGTCGAGGAGGGGCCTCGAGGCAAGCAAGGACTTCCAGAGGGCTCTCGATTGGACCCACCAGGGTTGTCTATAGCCTGCCAATGGCCTCCGCACCTCTGGGGCCAAGCCAGGGAAAGGGAGCCGGGCACCACGCATCCCGGGGAGAATGTCAGTATGTCTGCAGCTCCAGGGCCCGAGGGTGTAATGGGCACTTGCCTAAGTACCTGTCTGCAGGCTACAGTGTCGTGTTACCCGGCCCACCGCCGAGTGATCAAGGTTAATCACACTGCCTTATATTGAATTGTAATTATCCAACTACAGATGTGTATGAGTGTGGTGAGGGAGGCGGTCAGAGAGGCACCACGGAAGGCAGGGCCTCCCAGGGAGGTTCCCACGAGCCGCCACCCAAGCCTCCTGCAGGACTCACATCTGTCAGGAGTGGCAGCCGGGTCACCCTCTGCATGGGGAGGATCAGGAAGGAGATCATAGGCAGGCCCCCACACGCGGGCCGTCTCTCGATCTCCCTGAGTGCTTCCCGGAAGGCCGCGTTGCTGTTCCTGCAACAGGGAAGCTTTGTCACTCGACCGCAGGGAAAGTGGGGTGGGGTGGGCTGGGAGCACAAGGGGGGGCCCCCACTCACGACAGCTTCTGCAGGGTGCGCTGCTGGTAGACCTCGTTGGAGCAGTAGGCGACGTAAGGGTGGAAGTGCTTCTCGGCGTGCTCCTCCAAGACGTCGCTGATGTCCTCCACGCACACCTGCGACTTGTGCCGCTGCTCCAGGGCTTCAAAGAACCTGCAGCGTTGGAGCGAGTGGGGGAGCGGTTGGGGAGGGCGGAGGCTCGGTTTTGGCGGGTGCGCTGCACACCTACCTACGCAGACTGTACGCACGGACAAAAAAAAGTGTCCCCGCAGATCGGTTCTTAGAGGCAGCACCTAGGCAGGTGCCCAGTGGGTCAGGCAGATCCTCGTGTAAGCTAGACCACATCTGTCCAACGGCTCCGCCCCTCCCCCATGACAGATCAGCTGGCCACACTGCCTTTGTAACATCCAACACACACACCCGTGTCTGTTGTCCCTGGGTGTGAATTCAGAGATGCGGCCACCCCTGTGTTGTACTGGGGTCCTAAGAGACCCAGGGAGAGCCATGCCTCTTTAGGAATAGGCCTTTTAAAACTAACGTGGTTCTGCCAGCCAGGCTCCCCGCAAGGCTTTGCAACTATCCACTTTCATGGAATCCAGCCCATAATGGACAAATGGGGGCTGGGGGCCTGGGCTCTTGGCGGCGTCCTGGAGCGACTGCCAGCCAGGTAGGATGATGGCAAAGTAAGCAAATGACACCAATGGTTGGCCCAGAGTTTCCTGGGTCTTGGCCACCTGGTATGTAGGACCATACCAGGCTGGTCCTGGGCTATGTCCATGTCTCTAGGCCCTGGTTTTAGGCAGCTGGGAGAACTCTCTCCATATGGAGAAGACGCTTCGAGGCTTGGGTGTGAGCATGGGCTCTTAGGATTCAGCAGACCCTGTAACCCACATGGACCGCGTTTCCTGTAAGAAAGTGTGCTCTAAGAGTCTCTGGCCCTTGGGAAAAGCTGTGTAGCTGACTGAGAGGTTCATAAGCACATGGGCCCCATGGACGAGCGGAAGCTGCAGCTGCCCGGACACGGCCACTCGGCTGAAATGCGTGAGTCCTAGGGTTTCCTGGAAAGGTCTGGAAGGGCCAGCTTCCCCCTCCTGGCCCCAAATAGCACAATTCTCAGAGGAGATCACTATGAACGGCCGGGGGGAAGGCTAGAGAGTCCCGCACCAAGGCAGCAATGGCCATGCTGAGCCATTAGAAGCTGCACAGCTCATCAAGGGACCGCAATGGGGGTCAGGAGTCTGCATGAGGGTCACCCACTTCCCGGGACCCGTCCCCTCCTCTGATGAGTCAGGAGTGGGTAGTTCCCACAGCTAGACGCTGAGTCTCTTACAGGAAGCCCCTGTCTCCAGGGATATGACAGTCCTCGGTTCCCTGTCTAAATGGCTCAGAAACTTCCTGAGGTAGAGAGGACACCCGCGGCAGCAGACTGTGAGCGGGCTTAGTAAGGTCCGGGCTGATCCTGACGTGCACGGGCCAGCACCCTGTGTTTGGAGGGGCCTGGCTTGTGAGCCAGCACTCTGTGACCTATTCTCCTGACACTACTGAGACCCAGGAGCGTGCCTCAGGCAACAGCCTCGTCAAAGAGCGAAGCCAAAGCTAAAGGGACAAGGAGACCTGAGGTTTCCTGGACTACAGCAGCAAGGGCAGACCCCCCTCCACACACACATACCACATGAACGGACTGTGCTAGGGATATAAACATACGCACATATACAGGCATGAGCAAACACATACAGGCAGCACTATTCCCAGTGCTGGGGTGAGATAACCCACCGGCATTAAGCAAAAAGATATACACAGGCACACGCAAAGCACATATATACACTAGCACACGCATTCGCGAAAGCACTTGCACACACACAGACAAGATACAAGCCCTCACCAGCCTGCAGCTGCGTACCTGGTCCCTCCTCGGATTCTAGGCCCTGAAACTAGAGCCCAGCCAGGCCACCAGACACTGCTGGGTAGAACATGACCTGGGGTTGCAACTCGAGGCTGCCACCTGGCTGGCTGAGTACTCTGTGGGCACTGCTGACTATGCCCGGTGCTGAGATGCAGGGTTGTACCTGAGAAGTGTGCCCCTGCCCCTGCACCCCATTTCCTGGGAGTCTGGGATGCCCACAGTGTCCCCATAGCCAGCTCCCAAGGGCTCCTAGTGGTTGCCATGCTCTGTCTCAAGCTCCCCATCCACTGGTACAGCCCAGGGCCCACACAGAGCTTGCTGATATCCGCCCCCCCCCCCCCCCCGCAGTGAAAGCTGCCTGGAGGCATGCTTGGGGACCCAGGGAGCCCCAGATGGTGGAAGGACAGGGACGCTCACTTCTGACTGGCAGCCAGCACGTCCAAGATGTTGGAGAAGAGGTGGTGGTGCTCTGTCTGTGTCATGGTGACCCGCAGCTCCCTGGACTGCAGGAACTCGGTCGCCAGGATCCTCAGGCTGTGCAGATAGGAGAACTCAGATGTGAGGATCTCGAAGATGGCCTGCACGAGAAGAGGATGCTCAGAATGACGGGGTGGGGGCGGGGGGGGGGGTGGACTGGGGTGCGGGCCCCTTCGGGGAAGGCTGCCATGACTGCTGCACAGGCCAGAGTCCATATCCCTGTGTGCTCAGGCTGGGTGGAGGTGGCCAGGGGTCTGCTTTCCGGGCAAGTTGGTACACACAGTACCGACACGTGCACGGCAACTCCTCTACCACTGAGTCATGCCCCTCATCCCAGGCCAGGACTCTGGCTCTTCCTTCCTGACGTCCCTTGAGGATTCGCAAGGCAGTCAATGAATGGGTTTAGTCCTTCAGCCATCACAGTATCTGGCCATTAGGGTAGGTGAGGAGAGGGTATCACCGTGGCTCTAGTCTCTAACTCCCAGGGTACCGTGTGGCCCCCACACCATGTCTGGGGCTTCCCCAGTGGACTTACCTCCTGCCTCTTGCGCTCCTCCACCGACAGTGTGTCCAGGACACCTGACTCCAGCACCTGTGGAGAGCGCAGGCGAAGGAGCTGTGGGTGGCAGGTCCCACAGAATGGAGCCTGGTGCCTCTCCACTTCCATCAGGGACCTTCAGCCGTCTACAGCTCCTCCGCTTATCTCCCACTCCATAGAACCCTCCCAGGACAGCGCCAGATCATCTCTAGAGCCGTGGACCAGGAAGACGGACAGGGTCCAGAGGAACAGAGTGTGTGTGTGTGTGTGTGTGTGATGACTCACATGCCACCTGGGCATCTGAGTCACAGTCCTGCCAGGGAAGGGCACAGGCCGTTATCACCCGCACTCTTCACTCTCTTGGGGCCCCGATGGCTCCAGGCTGTCTTAGTGCGGCTCCCCCGATGCCTATAGCAGTAGAGCGTGTCAGGGCAGGCTGGACCGTCACATGCCTGTCCTCCTACTCACGGGCTGGGCAGAAGAGGCACTGTCAACAATGCACGGGGGGCCCCTGCGTTGTTTCCAAGGCTGCATAAGCCGGGCTCTAGATATCAGGCAATGCTGTGGGGTGCAGTGTGCTGGGCCCCGTCCCCAGCTTCTAGCATCCAAAAGGGTAATAAACACGTACTTCTGGACATGTCTGCTTGTGAAGCACAGAAGTCTGTCTTGCCGCAGCCCTTGGCTGGACCCTCCCTGGCTAGGGTCCCACTGTAGGCACTCTCGTGGTGGAATGCCTGGGTCTACCACCCCCATTTCCCGCCACACCCACAGCCTGCAAAGGACACATGCCTCTAACAGCAGCCAACCAGCTGCATGTCCTATGTGTCAGGACCACCACTCTGGCCCTGCTTTTGATGCAGCCTGGACAGGGTCCCATTTCCAGATGTGGGAAGTACGGGGAGAGTGGGGAGGCTTCCCTAGTGATATGACGGTCCTAGGAAGGGGGCTCCCTGTGCTCACAGTGCACCTTTGTGTCAGACCAACCAGGACCTCTAGCCACACATTAGGACAGAAGACAGACTCTGCTCTACTGTATTCCAGTGACTTTGGAAGCTAACTTTGAGCTCCTTGTAAGGGCCTGGGCTACCACAAGTTGGGCAAGGGAAGGCCATGGGGCCTCCTTACCTCTGGGAGCTGGCTCCAGGTGAGCTGAGCAGGCCGATAGCTCTTGACCACGATGGTGTCCGCTTTCTGAGTTCCCTCTGGGCTGGAGGGCTCATCGAGTATATCATCATCAGACTCATGACTGGTATTTAGACCCCGCTCCCGGATCTCCTGGTACAACTGGGGGTCTGGAGAGAGCAGAGCCGCCTGTGAGGGTTTGGGGATAGCCTGGCCCTCCCAAGGGCCCCACAAAGCTCTCAGAAACATGTAGGCTCCCCTATGGCCACGGGTCCTATGGCGGTACAAGGACAGGCTGGGAGATGGTAGCAGCCCAGTGTAGAATGTAGCACTCCAGGTCAGGGCCAAGCAGACCAACCAGAGCTGCACGAGCCAGCTGTGCCTAGTCTGGGAGAAGGAGGCTGGGTACTCAGGTGGGGCCTGAGTATGCTGGCTGCTGCCCACGGACCGACAATACTCCCAGCCCAGTCTGGCCTGGGCCAACCCAGTTCAGGGCATCTCTGAGTTTGTGAAGCTGCTGTGTCAACCTGCATCTGAGCCTGGGCACGGTTGCTGCTGCACACAGGGAGTGTTTCCCAGAGACTTTGCAGAGAGGCTCAGATCCTTGTGTTCTGGACCACGGCCACCCATAGAGCTGACATGGGCCAGGAGGGAGGGATATTCTTGCCAAAGTCACCACGCCTTAGCGGGACCAAGAAGACACAACAACACTAGTTATTGCTGTCTTACGGGCTGCAACGCCCAGTAGGCTCTCTTCAGACCGGGAAGATTCCACGCAGAGAAGAGAGATGAGCGTCTGCCTCTTATCTGATGCGCTATAATCCAACCTGGGTCCCATTGGATACTGAAGATAGTGTGGGGCTTGTCTGTCCCCATCTTTGGGTCACACAGTCTGGGAGTCCAAGGGATTCTATGAGATGCACAGTCAGACTAACAGTAGGGAATCTGTGTGTGTCCAGTGTCCTGCCCAGCCTGACCTCATCTTCCCAGACCCACCCAGTCCCCAGTTGGCCCTACCGAGACCCCTCCCTGGCCATGCTCAGCCCTCAGTTTCCTGGGAGCCACTTACCATCTTTGAAGGAGCCTTTGTGTGGGCGTTTCCGTCCCAGAGTTTTCTGCAGACAAGACACAGAAACCTCAGCAGCCAGTGGGGAGGGAGCTGTGGGTCGGCTCCCCTTCCGTTACTATGGCAGCCCAGAGATCTCCCCCACAGCAGGATAGGTAAGAGAAGGGAGGGGGCTTTGTCGACACACAGGAATTGCTCACTCAGTGTGAGCTTCACAAAGTAGAGGCCAGAACAGGTAAAGGTTGGGGTTCAGGGCAGGGGGCTGCCACGGGCCCAGGAAGGCTGCCTAAGGGGCTAAACCAGTTAGGAGGCATTACCTGGAGAGTGGGACGTAGGGGGGAGAGGGGGGCTGGACTGGGCCTGGTACTGGTTCAGGGTCCCAGAAACTGAGGGAGGGGTTGCAGAGGCAACCAGGGGCAGAGCTCTGAGGAATCCCCACCCTACACTGGCTTCCCTACACAGTCCCCACTCCTTGGCTGGAAGACCAGGTTTTTTTTTTTTTTTCTTTTACACAGGTACACTGGTTCCAGGAAAGCAGGGGCCAGTTGCTTCTGGCTCCTGAGAACCAGTTGGGACCTGAAAACTCCCCTTACAGGTCGGGAAGGTGTGATATACTGCCAGCCGAACCTGGCCCAGCTCTTTCTCACCCACCCCCTCACCTCCTCCTTTCCAAATCCTTCCTCAGTCTCTCCTGCATCCCTTCTGGCCCTGAGACCATGGGGGGGGGGCTCCTGTACTGTCTCCTGCCAGGCCCTGGGCACCCCACAGTCCCCTCTCAGCACAGGAGATCTCAGGAGCAGCCACCACTTGGCACCCCCAGCAAGGGCGTGCAGCAGGTACTCGGTGGAACTTGCTACAGCCAAGGAAAAAAACGAAGCCGGCATTGGTGGCGCACGCCTTTAAGCCCAGCACTCGGGAGGCAGAGGCAGGCGGATCTCTGTGAGTTCAAGGCCAGCCTGGTCTATAAGAACGAGTTCCAGGACAGTCTCCAAAACAGTACAGAGAAACCTTGTCTCGAAACCCCCTTCCCCCCCAAAATAAACAAAATGAACGAGACCTCGACCAGCCTGGTGCTGGGTGGGGTGGGGTGGGGCAGTGATGCCACTGACCTAGCTGCTGAGGTACAGGGTTACACTTCAAGGGTCCAGGCATCTCAGGCAGATGTGGCAGGGCAACCAGAATGACGGACAGTTGCCGGCACTGCAGACACAGGCCTTGTCTTAGCCACCACCGGCCTCCATGGAAGCTTATGGCCTGGCCAAGCTGCGTGCCGGTGGCTACCATTCTGGTGGGTGTCTGCTTCTCCCCAAATCAAGCTGTGGTTCGGGGTCTACGGAACCAATGCCCAAGTAAGCACGCTTCTCCCCCCACGAGGAGGATGTGTACATCTCTAGGCAACCAAAGGCGGCACGTACTCCTTTTTGGAGTGTGCTACAGCTGGATGGCGGCCACCCTCACTTATATATGGGGAAACTGAGGCTCAGAAGGAATCTGTTAGGGGCCACATAGCCCACAGAGGCCCATCACAGGCCCTTCATGGAATCTGACTGAACTCTGTGCCTGGGGCACCCCTGGACAAGTCTGAGGGAAACACCTGCCAGAGAGGCCCAGAAACTCATCTGCCCTGCCTGTGTCCTGGGAAGCAACTGCTTCGCATGGCTGTGACACAGAGATTTCCCCCATCTGACCCTGACAACATAAGGATGGAGGGTGGGAGAGGCCACTACCTGACCATGGTCTTCTTGCTCAGTGGCTGTCTGTCAACAGACGCCTGGAGACGCAAAAGGCTACAGCAGAGCTCAGGGGAAGAATGTTCTCCCCACAGGGCAGGGAGAGAAGCAGCAGGGCTGGGGGACAGGTGATGAGGGCTACACACTGTCCCTCCTTGTCCCACTGGGAGCCTGAGCCTGGCCTGGCTGCAAGTGCCATCAGACAGGCTGGCTCCATGCTTGGGCTCGATGGCAGCCGATTCCCTCTGCTGTCCACTCCGGGCGGAAGCAGGGGCACGGAAGAGTCCCAGGAAGGTGACCCAGCCTCCTCCAGCCAGAGCATGAGACCTGAATGCATCCAACTAAAGTAGGAAGGTCAGGAGCCCGCACCCAGCAGCTGCCCTGCATGATGCAGATGCAGATGCAGGAGACAACAGGACCGGGCTGCCTCCTTGCCTGTGAACTCCTGAGACCCTAGAGACACTGCCCATTCCTTGCTGTCCCCTACCTTATTTTTGGCTGGGCACCGAGCAGGAGGCTGAGTGGCCTCCTCAGTGAGGGCCTGAAGCTTGGGGCCGAGCTGGATTGAGTCCCCCTTGCTGCTGAATGACCCCAGGCCCTTCATGGCTGCCCTGTAGGACTGGTTCCTCATTCGCTTCAGATTCCCACCAGTGTCCGTGTCCATGTCCATGTCATCCAAGGATACGTTAGGATTCGGGAAGAGCCGGGGATCCCGCCGAGCCGCCTCCTTGCTGAGCACGGCCGCCCCGAAGCTCTGATGGCGGGCTGGGGACTTGGTCTTGGCCTTGCTGGCCACCGCCAAGCTCTTAGGGATGAGCTGCTGGGTCCCCATCTTGAGTGCCGCGGGGCTCTGCGTGCTGAGGACAATGGGCTGTGACCCCTCACCTTCCGGTGGCACATGCAGGGGTTCGGAGGCCTCTGGCTCGAAGGCAGCATTGGTCCTGGCTCTCAAGGAGCCCCGGACCATGGGGAGCCCCGGCACTGGATTCCCATTGGCGTCGAGTTTCAGCTCCGCATGGAAACGATATTCCAGTAGTTTCTCATCCAACGAGCTGTCAGAATGTCTCTGGGACATGCTGGGCGGGCAGGCTGGGGCCTAGAGAGAGACAAGAGGTGAGAGGCTCAGAGGGCCTCCTGCATATACAGCCTTCCTGGCGTTCAATACCGTTTCTTCCTAGTGTCTTCCCATAAAAGCGCCCAGGCAAGGACAGGGAGAGCAGTGCCGGCCATGGCTGCTCACCAGGTACAGCTGCATTACAGGTGTGCAGGGAAGCTGGGGTCTGGGCTTATCTGAGGCTATGTGCCTCAGGCATGCAGCTAACCATTCTCTGGTGGCTGGATTGGGCCTCAGGGACTACTCTGCTTTCTTTGACATAACTTACCAGGTCCTGGGCAGGAAGCAAATAAGAGCGGGTCTGTGACTGGGCCCAGAGGCCCCGTAGACCAGGTTAGGAATCCCAGGCGCCTTACTGATACCTTGAGCACTTGATGCACGGTTTGCACAGGGACAGTTACAGTTTCCCCGAGACTGCTGTGGATGTGACCGTGGCCCTGCCTGGCTGTGCATTCTTGCTAAGAGGATGGGCTATGCAGAGGCCCAGGGACCTGTCGGGGACGTGCCTCGGATGTCTGACCCTGACAACATGATAAGGAACAAGCAGGACGGAGGGTGGAGGGAGAGGCCACTCCTGGTCATAGACGCCCTGCTCAGTGACTGTCCACACAGACACCGCAGAGCCAGGATCCAAGTGTGAATGAAGCTTGCTTCCTCTTCTCCTGGCCAAGCCCATTTCCCATGGTGCCAAGGCTGACTCCAAAACCTCTCCTCATAGCACTCCCCAATACACATTTGCAATTTTCATGTTTCCGAAGTAGGGGGTCCACAATTCCAGTCTTGGGGGGGGGGGCGGTCCTAAGGTAAAAACCTGGGTTACCGTGCAGATGGGACTGCAGCAGGGAGTTTCAGCCTGAGCCACACTCCCAGGGCTCGCTGCCCAGCATGGGACGAGAACTGAGAGCCACTGTCAATATGCTACCCCCCCAGCCACTCCACCTGTCCATCCCAGCAGCTCATGTGCCCAAGGCCCCTTTCTGGCTTCTTTCCCCTCAGCGTTGGCCTGCCCCTGTCCCGTCACCCTGCCCTATCTACTACCCAGGCAACAGAAGGAAACCCTGAGCAACGGTTTCCAGAGTGTTCTATTTATTTCTTCACCATTGGTATTTTCTGTCCCCCTTGGAGCAGCATAGCCCTAAGGTTGGCTTTTGGCTAGCAGGAGATGCGACTGGAAGGGACAAGTGTCTCTCCTAAGCAGGGGAATCCCACTGGCCTGTGACCCAGAGACTGAGGCCTGGATGCAGCAGGAGCCAGAGTAAAGGGTTGTCTGTGTGGGAAACCAGTCTTCCACACTGACCAATCTGCTGAGGGCCAACTGTCCACGGTGCTGCCACTTACCTCCGTGACTGGAGGTCCTCAGACACCAGTCAGGAGCTGCCCTCCTGGGGGCCTGGAAGCCTGGGGTCCTCAATGGTTACAGGTGCCACCTCTTGGTTTCAATCTGCAAATCTGCAAAATGGGCTCAGTAAGAACAAAGGCGCTGCCTGAGGATTTCCTAGCAGACTCCTTAAATGGTCTGCAAAGCCCATCAATTAAAACAGCTCTGGCCGGCTGCAGGGGCCACACAGTAACAGCCAAGGCTTTTCTGAACCAAACACCACACTGTACTGGTAACGAGAGAGGCTGCCACTCAGGATTTGTAGGATCCTGATGTAAAGCGGAGAAAACTCCCTTCTATATATATTTTCCCTTTAATTTTTTTTTTAAACAAGGGAGCCAACGTCGAGGAAGCCTTTTATTTTCTCAGAACTTGGTACAGGCTAAAATGACATGGGTCTAAGAGGTCTGTGGAAGCACACCATATATATAACCTCAGAACCAGAGAGGCTGGAAGAGGAAGTGCCAGCATTCCATGCCAGCCTGGGCTACATACATAGCGAGACTATCTCAATGAAATAAATTAAAAAAAAAAACCCCTCAAATCCCAACTTATGAGGAAGAGCCTTCCAAAAGGGAAGTTAACCCAGCTCCATGTCTCCTGCCCACCCACATCTAGGGTGAGGCTTAGCACTGGGTCCCAGCGGCTCCTTGTCACTTGTCCTGGGCACTGTCCCAGGATCCCATCCTAGGGTGTGGTACCTCTCTGCCCTGCCCGACAGAGCAAATGGACTGAACTGGACTAGAGAGGACAGCTACCTTGGGGATTACCAGCGGTGGGGGTGGGAACCAGACTGTTTGGATGGGTTCAGGGCCTCGGGAGCTGATGACTCCTTGACCTCTAGGAAGATCATACCCACCCCAGAGCTCAAGGCAGGTCACAGCTCCATCCTAAGCCATAGTTCAGAACACAGAGTGGTGCCAAGACCCTGCCCAGAAGTCCCTCCCTGAAGGGGACGGGGCTGGTCACACTACTGATGATAACCACACCGTGGCTAAAATACAAGGCACCCAGGAAGCTGTTCGTGTCCCAGCTCACCCCCTGAAGCCCTAGGCTCCTCCACCACAGAAGATCTTAGCTGAAACTATCCGGAGAGGTTGAGTGCAGCCGAGCATCACGGGCCCCAGGGAGGGGCAGCCTGGGGACTTAGTGCCCCAGAGCAAGGGAGGGTGCATTCCTAAGGACATTCCAAATGGTGGCTGGGGATGATAGCAGCCGCACCAGGCCTCCCCCGGGGCGGGAGCTGGCATCTGTCACCCGTGTGGTGTGAGGCAGGGCTGCACCAACCAAGGCCCCACACTCAAGTTAGCTTCTCCGGTTCACCAAGGTCTGATGGCCCAGGACAGACTTCACCCGCAATTCTTTTTTATACAGTGATCATTACACTCAGAAAGGGCAGACCACACGGAAGCGCCCCGGGCCATTAGTTTGCCCCTCTCCTACCAGTAAACACCCATCACCCCTAACCCAGCGTCTCAGTCGTGAGGGACAGCATAGCCCCTGGCAGGCGGTGGCCTCTCCCAGAAGAGAGCAAAGTCCATCCCAGGGCCAGAAGTTGCCCAAAGGGAATCTGTCAGGTGAGCCACTGCTGGGAGTGGCTCCTGTTCCCAGCCTGGCACCGCACCCACAGGCCTGGCAAACAACCTGCCTGGCACCCCAGAGAGTAGGACTGAGGGCTATGGGTGCGTGTCCTGCCAGGTAGCACTGAAATGCCTGCTGGACACGTGTGTCCTGAAGCTGCGGGGCTTCATGGGCAGGGGACCACGAGGCTGGCTTGCCTCTTGTTAATCATTTCCACTCTCTCTGTAGCCAGCTCTCCTGTTAATCCCCCCCCCCCCAGCTGTCCAGTTTTGCTTCTGCATGCTCCTTGGGTCTGGCCCACTTCTAGGTCTTCTCAAGCACCCTCCTAGCTCAGGGTGGGGGGGTGGTCCTTAGGCTTGGCTCAGGCTATCCTCAGGCTATTAGGGCTCTCTCTAAAGCAAAACAAAAACAAAACAAAACAACAACAACAAAATGCCAGGCATTGTCTTGGGAAGGAGTTGGGGACAGATTTTTAATGTCTATAAAACATTTTTACTTATTTTAGGTGTATGAGTGTATGTATGTATCTAGGTATGTATGTAATATCACATACATGCCTGGTGCCTGCATAGGTCAGAAGAGGGGGGTCTAATCCCCTTGTAACTGGAGTTAAAGACAGTTGTGAGCTACCATGTTGGTGCTGGGAACCAAACCCAGGTCATCTACCAAGAGCAACAAAGTGTTTTTTTTTAAACCCCTGAGCCATCTCTCCAGCCCCAGATCTTTTTTTTTTTTTTTTTTTTTACTGTTTTTTTTGTTTGTTTGTTTGTTTTGGTCTTTCGAGACAGGGTTTCCCTGTATTGTTTTGTAGGCTGTTCTGGAACTCATTCTGTAGACTAGGCTGGCCTTGAACTCACAGAGATCTACCTGCCTCTGCCTCCCGAGTGCTGGGATTAAAGCCAGCAGGGGGTGAATTTTTGACTGCCGGAACACGTCTTTCTCTCCTCTTCCTCTCTCCCACTGGGGGATAACTTTCCTTTGGATCTGGAGGCACCCTCTTCTGTTCTCGGTGCCTCAGACTTCACGTCCTCATTTGGTGGCCCGTACTCCTTCTCCCTACCCAGCCCTGCAGAGCGCTCTCACCCCACACTCACTAAGCGCGGGGCCAGGTAGACTTTTCCAGCTTGTCCCCGTGTCTCAGACCTGCATCTACATGTGGTGCAATGTTATTTCCTGGGTTATTTCCCCCCCCTAGACACCCCCCCCCGCCGTCGGGAGACAACCCTGGGACCCATGCCGCTGCTACACCACCGAGCTATATCCCAGCCCCTTGCCTTATTATAATTTATTATATTTGAGACAGGGTCTTACTAGATGGACCAACTTGGCCTTGAACTTGCTCTGCAGTCCAGGCAGACTTTGAATTTGTTGTCGTCCTGCTTGAGTCTCAGGTGACTAGGATTTTTTTTTCTTTTTTAGATAATTTCTAGTTCTAGCACCATTTTATCCTTCTGGAACACTCACTAATCAAGACTGAAACCTCTGAACCAGGCAGTGGTGGTGCAGCACGCCTTTAATCTCAGCACTCATTGGGAGGCTGAGGCAGGCTGATCCCTGTGAGTTTGAGGCCAGTCTGGTGTACAGGGCGAGTTCCAGGACAGCCAGGACTCCTGTCCAACAACAACAAAAGAGAGGATCTCTGACATTTCCTCCTAATTTCTTACCTCTCCAACTTTTTCATTTCTTTGACCTTCTTTTGAAGACACCTCCTCTCTGTTCAGCCTTCTGACTTCTGCCACTTCCCTCCTGTCATTTCTGTGTCCGCTCCCTGCCAAGATTCTCCCTTGCAACCCCCCCCCCATCGCTCTCCATTCCTAGCGCCCCATTCTGATTTCTCGAAGACAACATCTTCCACCGACTTAGAGGGCAAGAATCCCAAGTTTTCTTTTACATGTCTCTGCTGGCTGCTGTTGGCTACCTCACTCTCTTGCTCTGTCTCGTCTGCCCTAGACCTTGGTCTCTCAGACACGAAATGTTCAAAATAAAGAGCTGCTTTGGTTTCCGCTGCCGACGGGAGGCCGATGTGGCCCAAGAGCACACAGGCTCTGTCCCCGGGAGCTGTGGACTCCCTGCTGCAGCCCACGTCCCCATGGGACAGCCTTCCTTCCGGGCTGGCTGGCTTCTGACTCTTGGTTCACCAAGAAACTGTCAGTGCAGGGACCTCAGATTCTCCTTCTAGAGGCCTCCAGGGAAATAACCAGCCATGGTCATCCACCAACAGTATTTCTGAGAGTGGGGTGTGAGGCCTCCCAGACTCCATATGGACCAAGGGTGTGTCTTGTCTATTCCAGGCCTCCAGGTTCACCGAGAACATGGAAGCAACTCCAAAGTCACCTTCGACAGCAGCTCTATCTGGGTGCCTGGCCATGTATCCCTGAAAGTCTTTGGGATTCAGGAACAACTTCTTCTACGTGCCCCCACAAACACAACAGAGCTCAATTCTCAAATGGATGTTGGCACTTTCCCTGTCCTGGACCCACCTCGTGCCTCCCTGAAGAGGCTGTGGTGTTCTAAGAGAAAAGCAGCAGAAACTGGGCCAGAGCCACTCGGCAGACCCAGATGCAACAGCGATAAGGGTGACTCCTAGCTGTTTCTGCTCACAGTGAGCTGGAAGTGGCCCCATGATTGAGGCCTTAGAGCCTACAGCCCACATTCTCTTTGCACAAGGGTAGCAGAACCACAGGGCAGGATTTCATGCAGGGCCAGTGAGATCTTGACAAGACATCTCAGGGGGCCACTGTGGGTGTGGTCCTGGATGGATGGGACTCTCTGCACCCATGGTCCTCTGCTCCAGCACCCTTCCAGGAAGGTCAGCTTTTCATGAACCTTGTGGGTACCTGTGCTGCCCTCTAGTCCCCTAAGCCTGATCTCTTCCTAGTCTGAGCCTGTCTGTCACAGCTGGTCATAGGAACCCAAATCTCTCAGAGTCTGAGCTTCTCTGCCCTGCTGGAAGCCCTCCATCGCCAGCTCTGACGCTGGGCCATCTCTACCTGGTGAGGCTCAGCCTCTTCAGTATCAGACTCAGCTAGCGGGCAATGGTGGCCTTGTGCTTGGGCAAACCCTGCCTGACTGAGCTGGGGAGTCGAACATAATTTGCAGCAGGGTTAGGCTTTGTAACTGGCTAGTTACATTTGTAATCAGCTAGTTACATTTGTAACCAGCTAGTTACATTTGTCAGGTGGCCAGCAGAGCTCAGGAGAATCTCAGCTGAGGGCAGTCTTGCTGGGAGCAGTTTTATCCACCTAGAGACAATTTGTAACATCTGAAGACACTGTTGGTCATACCCACTGGCATTTCTGTGTGCCAACAAAGCAACCGACTGTAACAAATGCCTCCAAAGCTGAGGTGGGGGAAAGACCAATCATAGCTAGCTAGCTAGAGTCACCCTTCACTCACCCACTGGGTGCATCCAGCCAGGCCACATCATCCGCCTGTCACTCCACACTCCCCTTCCCATTCTATAAGCCCAAGTGGTAACCACCGGGGTCCCTTATAAGGAGCCTGGGTTGGGGAAGCAGAGTCCTGACCTGACGGGAACCTGGGGCCAGGCCTCCACTGCTCAGTTCACCAGCTGAGAAACAGGCCCACGGGAAGGTCTCCAGGGCCGGCTAAGTCTTCAGGCCCCTCCCCGAACTCCTGGCCTCTGAGTGTCTTCCCTTCAGGCAGTGAGAAGCAGGGACAGAGGGAATGTGACCTGCCTGGGTCAAGCCCCAGCCAGTGAGAGCACAAGGGGGAGGAGCCAAGCTCCGAGGCCCCATCCTGACCTAAATGGCTGTCCTCAAACCAGGAACTAGATGCAGACGACGAGGGATTCTGGACCAGTGCTGCTACAGGAGGGCAGTCACCTGCACACTGTGTCACAGAGTGAGCACAGGCAATGCCTAGATGGATCTAGAAACCAAAACCAAAACCTCCAGGTCTTGTGGCCAAACAGAAAAGCAACTGGGCCACCTTCCGGGAAGCAGACTTGTTGTCTCCAAGAACAAGCCTTGGGAATCTCAACCAGCTACTTCACCTCTGCACTGGGACTCAGGCATGCTCCCTCACACATGGGTGGGAATTGACTGCCCTGCAGGAGGTGGAACGTGGCTACAACCCTCCACCAAAAGTTCAACAGAAATCAGCGGTGGCTGCTCTTCCAGAGGACAGGGTTCAAGTCCCAGCACCCACATGGTAGCTCAGGACTGTCTGTAACTCTGATCCCAGGGGGATCCGATGCCCTCCTCTGACTTCTGTGGACACTAGGCACACCTGTGGTGCACATGCATAAACATGGGCAAAACACTTAAACATATAAAGTAAATAAATCTTTAAAAAGAAAAAGAGTAGTTTCTGGTTTTAGATGCTTGGAGACGGGAGTGCCAAGGGGCCTCTACCTAGGTGACTTAGTCCTTACTTTTTTCAAGGAAGCCTGGACACCCCCTCCCTCCAACAGGCAGTACTGCAAAGAGGTTCCTCTCGGGACGATGGACATCCTGAGAACATGGCCTGACAGACACATTTATCCATTTTTTCCCCGGAACAGGAACACAGCAGCAGCCGACTGAATCAAGGCGCTCTGAGAGATAAACCGCGGCCCGGAGGCTCGAGCAGCTTGCCTGATTTCACACATAGCAACTTTCAAGCCTGGCGCCCACATACCAGGGCAGAAAGCCAAGGGTACCAGGGCATACCGGCACACAGTCACGAATGGACCCACACACGGTACCCTGACGTTGGTCACTCCAGTGACGAAACACCCAAGCATCCACTTGGGGACCATCACCTCCTGTCTGGGCCCCAGGTGTGATGTGGAGGCCACTGAGATCCCAACCGTGGCTGCCACCAACTCAGTCCCCTGCTCCTGAGGCCCATGCCCAGGTTCATCTTTCTCGCTCAACCTCAAAGTAGATCCCTGCTCCTGATTTACAGATATGGGGATCAAGACGGGGTGGGGACAGGTGTCCACAGGCCAGCCTGCAAGCGGCTCCCGCAGATGTCCGGAGCTGCCCCTCCCACTGGAAGGCACTGTGGAGACCGGCTGGCCACCAAGGCCATCAAGGTAGAAAAAGTGCACGAGGGGGTCAGGCCCCTCACTCTTGGGGCCCATCTGAACAGACCATCTTTCTAGCTCCCGGAAGAGTTACTTCCACCACCACCCCGCCCCCCGGGACTTCCCAGGAGTCTCTGCTCCCTAGTGTCTAACCGGGTTCGCTGCAAAGTGTCCCTTGGACTGCGCGGCTCGGGGCAGCTAGGCTCCTAGTACCCGGCTTGCAGCTCCAGCGAGGGCGGGGCGCGACGCTGTCGCCGAGGTCGGGAGGGGCTGGAAAGGAGCAGAGGCGCCCCGGGAGGCCCAGGTGGCCTTCCCCTCGGTTGACACTCCAGTCCCCAGACTCACCTGTGCGCACAGCCGTGGAGCAGCGGGGCGGGTACAGCCTGCAGTAACGCCGGGTCTCCTCGTCCGGTGCGGTCCCGCCCTCCCTACTTCCTGCGCCGCCGGCGGGCGGACGGGCGGACGGGCGGACGGGCGGAGCCCGAGCCAGGTGGGCTCCGCCGGCGGCTGCGCGGCCGGAGGGCGGGACGCACCCTAGGCACCTGCTGCACCGGGGCCGCCTCACTTGGCCGCGCCAGCTGCGTCACCGCACTACCCGGGCCCGCCTGCGTCCACGTGACCAGTCTGGTGGTTCGGGGCCGGAGTCCGCCCTTGGGTACCGTCTACTCACCCTCCCGCGCCTAAGTCTGCTTCCTTTCTGCGCCTGTCTCTGGGCTCCTCCGTCTCCTCCAGGAAGCCTTCTGAGATAGCCCGGGCCTGCGTGAACCTGTTTGCTGAAGGCAGGCCCCACCCTCTGCATTCTTTGCAGCTGGCTACTTCAGGGCAGCCCCAGCCAGGATCTCCCAGAACAACCTCCATGGTGTGTGGTACAGGGACCGCTGAGGGTTGGAAATTCTGCCAGCCACGCAGGTCGGTCCCCGCCTTGATTCTCCCGAGCTCAGGAAAAACACTCCCAAGTCCATGTAGTGTCCTCAGGGATGATGCTGTAACAGTGCGCGCACACACACACCCCCATCCCACACGGGGACTTTAGGGGCCAGGCTCACCGTGTGGGGAAAGATGGGGGGCTGCACCATTGCCCTCCGAAGTGCCACCAAATCTGAGCCCCCAAGGATGAGCAGAGTTAACCGATAATGGGGGGAGAGAGGAGTAGAAAAGGCAAGAGTCAGCATGAGTATAAGGGTCAAGAAGCAGGAGGGGCATGGCCAGGGGGAAGCCTGAGGGGGGGGGAGCAGAGAGCACAGGGCAGTGTGGGCGGCAGTGCCCAGCCTCCATCCAACAGCAGGAGCCTCTGCCTAGTAGATGAGTCCACCAGTTCCCAGGCTGCCTCAGGTTCCTGAGAGCAGGGGTTATTTGCAGACGGGCACCACTGCACCCGGCATTTTAGCATTTTAGGTTTTCTTCGTGCAACATCGAACTCATGGTCTGACATTCCCAAGACACCTTGAAAACGTGGTCATCATAGCAGACCCAGAGGAGGGGACAGCCACAGCCACCTCTCACTGTGGCTCTTTCTCTGTCTGGCTCACTGTGCAGAACCAGGGCTGAGTGTGACGGGGACACAGTGAATGCCCGGTGACCCTGGTGTAACCTGAGGTCCTGGGACACATCCAGAAGCCTTAGTGTATGCTGGTTCCTTTTCTGTGACCTCACACCACGCCCCCCCCCTTGTCCCCTACATGTTCCTCCATACAGTGACCCAGGTAGTGTTGCCCAAGAGCTTGCCTCATTGAGCACCGCATTTCTAAGAGGGATAACCCTGGAGACTCTAGCTTGGCCCTTCCTTGGCGATGCAGTGTGAGGGGTGTGCCTGGCCGGAGTCCTCCTGCGCCCTCATCCTTCGCCGGCCTCAGCCCTGAAGTTAGGTGGCTTGGTTGCGCCATCCTCTGCCCTTTCCGGTGTGATATCATCTGGGCAGGGCACTAGTTGGTCACGGGACCAGGTCCAATGGACATCAGTCACACTGGAAGGAGAAGAGGAGCTCAGGATGACCTGGGGACTGAGTGAGCCCTGGGTCCTGGAACTCCTTGGGTAGCCAGCGGGTGTGCCGCTTAGGCGGCTCCTGGGAAAGGTGGGTTGTTGCTGACCCCCAGAGGCCATTGTTGGGTATTGCGCTCACCAAGCCCAACCTCCAAGAAGTTGCCTGGGGGTTTTGGAGCACACTGACCAATGAAAAGAGGAGGCTGAAGCCGGATGGAAACACTGGCCAACCGATGCCCGAAAGAAGGCCAAGGGCAGGTAGAGAGAGGGTCCTTTTACTCCAGCTTCCTAGTAAGGCCTTGAATGTCAGCCTCTGCTGAGCGCTGTCTCCTCACACCCTCCGTGAGTACCTGACCCTTAAAGAACTAAAAGACAGGAAGAAACAAAACAAAAATAAAAACAGCAAAACAAAAAAACCCTGATCACAAAACAGTTTACAGCAGGGAAAAGTCCAACAGTGCAGGTAGAATTGACAGACCAAAAAAACACTTTTTTTTTTTTTTGCAATCATTATGCAGACCAGGCTGGCTCAAATTCACAAAGATCTGGCTGCCTCTGCCTCCCAAGTGCTGGCATTAAAGGTGTGCATCACGGTGTCTGACAAAAAATGCATATGGCAAGGTGCACACAGAGAAAGACCCCCCCCTGCAAATGGGGGACTCAGACCAGGACGTCCAGCCTCCTCCTGGAGGACCACAAGTTGTTAAGGGTATTTGGTAGGCTGCAATGGGGGTCATCTTTATCTAATTTAGGAAAAGCCCTTCGGGCCTTTGTATCAAGCCGCCAGGCCTTTGTCTCAGTAGGGCAAGGAAGAAGCTGGGAGTTACCCATCTCTGACGCTTATGTCTGTCTGTCTGTCCGTCTGTCTGGGATCTGCCTAACTCCTAGTCCCTCCCCTTGTCCTATCATTCATCTCTAGACTTGTAACTGGTGGAAGGCTGTGGGGCTGTCTTCACCTGTCTTCACCCTCAGGAAGGGTGCTGTGTCAAAGCCTGCACAGAACTCAGATCTGGAGGGTGAGCTGTGGCTGGGCAACCTATACTGCCTGTCCTGGGGTCCTCTTTGCTCCCCAAGATCCCTGGTTGGGGAGAAGAGGTTGATTCTGGCCTTCCATCCTTCATAGCTTTGGGCCAGTGTCTGTCAGTAGCCACTGCCTGTGTTGGTATATTACTTATGATTTATTTAAGCTTGCCCAAGGATTCAGAAAGGAAAGTCAGCCTTAAGCTATATAAGGCAGGCACACACCTTTAATCTCGGAAGCCAGAAGCTAGGAGGTGGTGGTACACACCTTTAATCCTAGGACTCAGGGCCAAGAGGGCAGGCGGATCTCTGTGAATCAAAGGCCACCCAGATATACACAAAATTGATCCAATCCTAAAGAGAAACAGCTGGCACAAAGGTGATCTCAGCACCTGGGATCACACACCTTTAATCCCATCATAAGGGAGGTAAATAAGACAGCCATTGATTCTCCAGCCACTTGGAGGATGGGAAGACATTCAGTCCCAGGATTCTCCAGTCACGCTGAGGAGAGGCAGCAGGATCAGCCCATTCAGCCTGAAGTAGCGGTAAGAGCTAGTGACCTGAAGTAGCGGTAAGAGCTAGTGACCTGCTACTTTGCTTTTCTGGTCTTCAGCTTGAAGCTTGAACCCCAATATCAGCCTCTGCGTCATTTATTAATTCGTGTTACAACCACCCCTGCAGGACACCCAACACTGAGCCCTGTGGCCTAGGCCACACTCAGTATCGCCATAGTATGGGAGACATCTGATTCCAGCTATCTGCAGGGAAGAAACATGCTGACCAGCAGCGACTCAACCAAAGCAGCCCCCATCCTGCCTTCGGAAAAGCTATCCTGGTGGGGGTGGGGGGGCGGGATGCTCTACCTCACGCTAAGGGTAAAGGGGCCTTCGAGGGCCAGGTGAATTCTGTTGGCACAGCAGTCAACACTAGTAAAAGGCTGGTCGAAAGGGGAATCTTATCAATGTGTGAGGCTTACAACCCCAAGTGCCAGGCACAACAGTGGGGGGGGGTGGGGAGGAAGCTGGGACCCAGGACAAAGGGAGAAACTCCATCACCAGAAACAGACCCGGAACAATACATGTGATGGAATAGTGTGTGAGGCTTGTGAGGCATCTAGCATGGATAAGCACACGTGAATGCATACGTGCCTGAGCCCGGGGCCCTGCTGCTGCGCTGTACCCCAACTCTGCCCAGGAATTTAAAGAAACCAAGAGCACAATCTAAAGGGTAGCAAAAGGGCCAAGGGGAGAGAGAGCGTTGGTCCATCTAACGATGCGTGCGAAGGGAGGCTCCGGAAGGGGTGGGCAGGAGAAAGGATGCTGGAAAAGATACGGTTCCAGATCAGTAGTGCCTTGCAGTCGTCATCAGAGACTCCCCTCCGGCAGCAGATGGGAGCGGACGCAGGGACTAGGCATTATGTGGAGAGAGCCTAAATCCAGAGGTCTCCACCCGGCTCCTTCCCCTTGGAGCTCGGGGCAACCCCATGGAAGAGGGGGGGAGTCAGGCCCACTGAGACAACTAAGCAGGGCTCACATGGGCTCTCATAGGGATTGAGGCAGCAAGCACAGGCCTTGCAGGAGGTCTGCACCGGGTCCTCTGTGTATATGTCGTCGAAGTAGACGGCCTTTCCGTCCCACCCGGTCCTGTGGCTATTCAGTTCCTAATAAACACACAGAGGCTTCTATTAATTATAAACCGTTTGGCCGATGGCTCAGGCTTCTTACTACCTAGCTCTCTCTCTCTCTCTCTCTCTCTCTCTCTCTCTCTCTCTCTCTCTCTGATTTTTCGAGACAGGGTTTCTCTGTATTGTTTTGGAGGCTGTCCTGGAACTCGCTCTGCAGACCAGGCTGGCCTCCAACTCACAGAGATCCACCTGCCTCTGCCTCCTGAGTGCTGGGATTAAAGGCGTGCACCACCAACGCCCGGCCTAGGTCTCTCTCTTGAATATTAACCCATTTCTATTAATCTATGTATTTCCACGTGGTCTTGGCTTACTGGAGAACGCCCTCCGGTCCTATCTTCCCTGTAGCTACACCATTGCCCTCATCTCTCTCTCTCTCTCTCTCTCTCTCTCTCTCTCTCTCTCTCTCCTCTCTCCTCTCTCCTCTTTCTCCGTTTAATTAAACCAATAAGAGAAACATGTATGCATGGCATACAGAAGGACCTCCCCCATCACGTTGTGGCTGTTAGCCTGGTGTTTTTGTAGGACTCCTAGCTGTGGGAGCGGGTGTGTCTCTGATGCTTTTGCCTGCTTGGGAGACTTTTCCCTCCTGTTGGGCTGCCCTGTCCAGGCAGGGTTTTTGCCTTGTCTTACTGCATTTTGTTTTGTCCTGATGGGTTGTTTTCTCTTGGAATCCTGCTTTTTTTTTCTCATGGGGAGATGGACGGAGAGTAGATCTGGGGGAGAGGGGAAAAGGCGAGGGGTGCTGGAGGGGTGGAGGGAGGGGGGGACTGTAGTTGGGATGTGTCGTGTAAGAGAAGAATATATTTTCAGGTTAAAAAGAAAATCAAATTACGGGCACTGGAGATTCGACTCTCGGACATCAGGATCACTTGCTGCTTTCCCAGAGGACCTGAGTTTGTTTCCCAGCACCCATGTCGGGCGGCCTACAACTGCTTGTAACACCAGCTCCAAGAGATCAATACCCTTCCCCAGCTTCTGAAGGCACCAGTACATGCAATGTCAGGTCCACACGGGAACAGAAGCCTGCTAGATGGTATTAGTACTGAGAGCTCTTTCATGCTTTAATCTTTTTTTGAAGGATGCTTTTTTAAAAATAAAAGTAATGATGCTAAACTCTGATATTTGCAAAGGTCAGTAAATCAAACCACAGAAAAAGCTCAAAACACGGCAGAGGACCTGTCCTACCTAAGCTCCTACCGTGGTTGCCCTGGACTACAGGCCATAAAATGAAGTAAACTCTTCCTTCCCCAAGATGCTTTATGTCACAGCCTTTTCATCAGCTGGCTCCTGAAAGGCAGTGGTTAGTTTCAAAGGCTTGTATTCGAAAAATAAGACATGTTTCAAATCCATGATCCATACACTTCTATCTTCAAAATTAAAACAAAATAGCGCAAATTGAAACCAAAATAAACACGAGAAATCAAATAATAAATTATCATAAGACAGTGTAGTAGGAAACCAGTCTACATCATTAAAAAAAAAAGCAATGATCAGTGAAAAGCAGAGATACTATTTGAACAGTTCGATGAATTTGATATCCTTAGACTGCTAAAAAAAAAAAAGGAAAAGAGCTAAGACTCAAATGATGGATTATCAGGAAGGAGAAAGAGCCATCACCACAGATCTTACAGACTGTAAAAGGATAGGGAACTTGGCCAGTAGATTCAACAACTAAAGGGAAATGGCCAAGTCCCTCTAAAGGTGCTAGCCACCAAAACGGGCCTAGCCACAAAAAGATTATGTAAATGGAATCGTATCTATGAAGAATTAGAGTAAAAAGAAAATCACTTTTTTTTGTCTAGTGTGGGGGGACAGACGTGCCGTGGGGCATGTTGTGGGGGCAAATGTCTTTCCTTCCACCGTGTTGGTTCTAGGGCTGCAGCTCAGGTCGCCAGGCCTGGCAGCAAGCGCTTTGACTCACTGAATAAAGACACAAATTCGTTCTGCAGCTCCGAGCAAACAAACACACATTCCTGAAGAAGACCCTGCAGGCCCTGAAGATGCTACTGGTGAATCCACTCCAACAGAAGAAGCAATGTTCCCCTTACATCGAGTGTTATCAAGGCCCCGAGAGAGCAGACGTTGCCCACCTCAGGCTATGTGTCCACTGTTACCCTAAAACCAAGACTAAACACATCATGAAAAACCTCCCAGAGAACTGCAGACTAATATCCTTCGTGAACACAGAGGCCCATGGTCTTTTTACAGAATAGTAACGAGCCGGATCTTGTCGTGCACAGGATAGATGATAATTGTGGGATATTTCCATACACTTGGACACTCCCGAGACTGCCGGTGAAGTTTACTTTGGATCAGAGGGTGGAGCTAGTACTCGCTGACCAAAATTAGGCACGGGGGTTTTGGAGGATGGGGAACATATAGACACAGGAAATGGTAGGGTGAGGCTTAGGAAGATTCTTGACCCTTTTGAATCAAGGAAGAAAGGGGAGGGAGAGAGAGAGAGAGAGAGAGGGAAGGAGGGAGGGAGGGAGGGAGGGAGGGAGGGAGGGAGGGAGGGAGGGAGGGAGGGAGAGAGAGAGAGAGAGATCACTGGTCACTTCTCCGCTGCTTCTCCGATCATTCAGATTCTTACACTGATATCTGACTCCTGACTTCTTATTGATTAAAAAATACTTAGATAAATGCTTCATCTGGTGACCAACACAGGGCATGAGATCAGGAGGCAGGTGCTCGCTGCCACAAACAGAGTTAAAAATTAAAGGCCTACATAGAAAAGTTTTCTGGATTGATTCTGAAGGGAAAATTGAGACTTCATCAATTATCAGGAATAGACCCAACAGAAATTGTTGGACCTTTTACTAATGCTGAAATTGCCTCATTTTGGGCAGAAAATGAACATTGCCAAAGAGCTTGCAGTAATTTTCAAGAGAGATTCCTAACAAATATCCCAAAAGCAAGAGACTTCAGTTAATAAAAACAACTAATTGGATCCTCACGTCACACAGTAAGAGGAACACCAGTCTGGAGTCCCTATATTCCACACTGATGCACATAGATTAGGAAAGACAGGTTACAAGTAAGGAAAATTAAGTAAAGTGACTCAAAGCCCTTATAATGCTGTTCAAAAGGGAGAATTATATCCTATTCTCATGGTGTTATTAGATTCTCCTGAACCTCTTAATGTAGCTAACTGACTCCTAACATGCAAAGAGTTGTTTTACACATTGAAACCAATGAACTTTTTCAGATGATTCAGAATTAACTTTGTTATTTATTAAATTACAAGAAATAATCAGAAATAGAAATTATCCCTTGTATATAACATACATCATATCCCGGGCTAACGAGGAGCAAGGCTGCCATTAACCTAGGGGCATTAATCTAGGCCTGGTTTGTGGATAATGAATCCTCTATTGAAGGTGTTCGGATTTTTGCAGAGGTACAGTTGAGTAACCACAGTTCTGATGTAGAACATATTGGTTACCTTGGGCATTCCCATCCACCCTTGCAGTTCATCATGCCCCCCAAACCTGTGGGGCCTTGTCCCCCTCACGTCCCTTATGTGAGATTCAGCTACATTGTGGTGACTCTCAATAGGACTTGCTCTCTGGCCTGCAGAGCTTGGGGTCGTGCATACGCAGCACACTGCATTGCATAGCTTGAGGTCATGCTACAGAGCTTGGGGTCGTGCACACGCAGTACACAGCACTGCAGAGCTTTGACTGATGGATTCGAGTTGCGCCACATTGTTTATCCTGATCCCTGATCCCACTCTGCCACCTCTCTATATTTTCCTGTAGCCTCCAGTTTCCCTGCTGCGGTTAGGAGTTCAGGAGCTATAAAACCCTCCTAGGGTCTTCTCCCTCTGTTAGGCCATGGCAGGCTCCAGCCCCTCTGTGCAGGGGGGGGGGGCATTGGCCCGACCTTCGATTTGTAGAATCTGCTTCTAGCCCCCCACCACGCTTTCTCCTCCACACTTTGCCTTTGGATGGAGCTGTGGAATGGCCTTGTCCAGCCTGGCAAGAGAGACATGTGCTTTTCCCCAGCAGGGCTGCAGTCTTGGCTCATGGCTGGGGACCCCTCATGTCCCAGAGCCCCCTTGGGCAACCTACACAGCAGGCACTTGCTTTCTCAACTGCAGAAACACCCAGCCCTCATCCTGGCTGTTGTACCCGCAAAGCACGACACAGCTTGTGCTGTGGAAAACTTTCGCTGCATGAGAAATACGGTTGAGGGCTCCCTAAAATAGTTTCCCTGCAAATGGCCAGCAGTTCCCCAGCCCAGAGGGAAGCTGAGTGGGAATGAAAAGCCCCTCTCTTCCCAGAAAACAGATTCTTCTTTGACACATTTTTTTTCCTCCTCTTAATACCCCCATCCCCCCTTTTCCAAAATGGGGCCTTTTTCCTCAGTCTTTTATGTGGGGACTGGGCCACGAGAAGACAAAGTCCACTTGTCAGCAACCTTCTGTCAGCCGCTGTTCCCTTTCCCTCTGGGGCTCTTTCAACAATACAGCCATTATCGGGCCTTCTCCGATTCCACGGAGTTTTCCTCTCTCTCCCGGGCTAATGAGGAACAAGGCTGCCAGGTTGGACAAAACGGGACAGTTTTCACTCCACTGGAGCCCCAGTGTGGCGAGCTCTGGGAAGCACCATTATTGGGGGGTGGAATCTGTGGGTCACTGTCATGCCATTTGGGAGAACCACTTTTGGGATTGTGGCCTTCAGTCAGCTTGATGTTTCACAGAGGACGGAAATGTACTTCCCAAAGTAGAGCCTTTCAAGCCACCCCAGGTCTCAGGCTCCCCGGGCAAGCCCCAAAGTTGTGACCATCCAGGCTTAAGATCTCATTGGCACCTCGTCAATCATGGCGGGAAGGAAAACAACCTGAGACATTTAGCGCTGCCCCCCACCCCCCCACACACACACTTGGCTTGATGGTGTTAAGAAAATATAAGGGCTCGGCTCCCCAGATCTGGGTCCGGGATCTTATGCCAAGATCAACTTCCATTTCTTCTCCTCTGGCAGCTAGAAGGAACTGCTGATTAGGAACCCTGAGAACCCTACGTCTGGTGACATTCATCAGAGCACAGAGAACTTGGGGAGGTCCAGGACATCCCAGAATCCCCGTTCAGTGATGGTTCAAAGAGCAAGCCATTCACTCCTCCACCCACCACCCATCCACCCACCACCCATCCACCCACCACCCATTCACCCATCATTCACCCATCCACCCACCACCCATCATTCACCCATCCACCCACCACCCATCATTCACCCATCCACCCATCCACCCATCCATTCATCCATCCACCCACCCATCCATCCATCCATCCATCCATCCACCCATCCACCCACCATCCAATTACTCCTCCACCCACCCATTCATTCCACTCCTCCATCCATCATCCATCCACTTCCCCACTCACCTGTCCGTTCCATCTATTCACCCACCGCCTACCTTCCATTAACCCCTTCACCCACCCACCCACCCCATTCACTCCCCCCCATCTTTCTCCCACCTGCCATCCATTTGCTCCTCCAGTCTCCGATTCATTCACCCACCCAGCCACCATCCACTCACCCCACCCGCTCACCCACTTGCTGGTGCCACGCCTTTCCCTGGCTGCACCCAGTCTGTTGTGGGCACCAACAGCTGCACTGAAGGCCCCCCTCCTAGAGCAGGGATTCCATTGGAGTCAGGACCTCCTCCCTGTCTTGGGGCCTGATCACCTACTAGTACTTCCAAGCTGTTGACTGGAGTCTATGTACCTGCCTTGTGTCCACAGTGTGTCGGCGTAATACTTGAGGAAAGGTGGTGACTGGGTGGGTCTGGGGTGGGGGGATGCGGGGTTGGGCTCATGTGCCCCACCAATGTGGTCAGATGGAAGAGGGGAGAAGCCAAAGGCAGGGTCGGCGCCCGGAATGAGTCCCGAGGCAGCTGAAGGTAGGAGGCAGAAAAAAGGAGGCCAAGAGAGTCTTGGGAGGCCAAAGGGCAGCTCCAGGAGCAGGTGAGACAGCCCATCACTTAAAGCTTATGACAGCAGGGTCAGGCATGCCCAAGGTCAATTTCGTGAGCCCAGGCTCCTCAGAACGGGGTCTTTTATCTATCATCTATCTATCTATCTATCTATCTATCTATCTATCTATCTATCTATCTATCTATCTATCTATCATCTATCTATTTTGTTTTTTCGAGACAAAGTTTCCCTGCATTGTTTTGGAGGCTGTCCTGGCACTCGCTCTGTAGACCAGGCTAGCCTCGAACTCACAGAGATCCGCCTGCCTCTGCCTCCCGTGTGCTGGGATTAAAGGCGTGCAACACCACAGCCCGGCTGAACGGGGTCTTTTAAATAAGCAACGTTTACTCATTGCGAGTGTGAGTGTGCCTATGCCGCGGCAGTGTCCAGAGGTTAGAGGAAAACTGAGGGGCTCAGGTCTCTCCTGCTACCCTGAGGGTGCTCAGGGACCAAACTCAGGTCGCCGGGCTTTGCAGCAAGTGACTTTACCTCCGAGCTCTCTCAGCAGCCCCAGGCAAGTCCTCTTAAGAGGTGGTCATCATCCCTGGTAGTTTCTGGAAGGCAGGGCCTGCAACCTCGGTTCTGCAGCAGAATCATTTGCTGCTTGGGCTACCGCCCCAATCCAGTCAGACTTGCCGTGGAAGAAAAAAAAAAAACCAGATAAAGGGTAACTCACCCGGGACAGGAAGAGGGTGGCAAAGAGGAGCCAAGGGGAAAGTCAGTCAGGGACCCTGGGCAGAGGTGGGCAGTGGGGGGCAACACTGCTCACCTAGGACATGAGCTTAGCCTCTGCCTTAAGATGCATGGTGGGCTACACTTGGACTGCCAGGCTTAGATGGTGGACACTCATCTTCCCCAGGTTTCTCCATCTGAGCAGAATCAAGCTGGGGATCAGATGCTGAGAGGGTGTACTGCAGAGAGAGAGGGGGACATCCCTGGGTCTCCATAGGAGAGACACTCTGGGTGAGGCCAGAGAAGCCAGGTCTGCTCACCGATAGCCTGAGGGCCTTTGCTCAACCCTGTTCCTCTCCTGGGGCAGCTCCAGGCACACCTGGGTTATAATGCAAGGTAAGTGAACCTGGCCAGGGTCTCTGCTCTAGCAGAGAGGGTGGCTTTGCCTAGTACCTGGACCAACTTGGTCTAGGCTTGGGAGGGGGGCCGCACCCCCTCCTACCCCACCTCAGAGGCCAGGCTTCCCCTTAATGAAACTTTCAATGAGACTTAGAAAAACACACAGATTTATTGCATATCAATCTCAATGTATAAATTCATTGTAGCATTGGAAAGATTACATTTGGTACCCAGTCCGTCCTATTCTACAGCATTGACCTCCAAGCCAGCCTCTCCTGGCTTTTTTTTTTACCTTACAGAAATCTCTACACAAGTACATCTGTCTTTGCCACAAGCCTCAGAAAGAGATCTGCAAAAAAAAAAAATCACTTTTGACTATCCTCTACATCGTGTCTTCTTAATTCGTGATTCTCCCACGGCGATTTCCATGGTCACTAGGAACTGTGGTCCATTTTCATGGGCATTTTGGGCCTCTTGGCCTTGACTTAGACCCTAATTACATACTCAGTAAGTGCGTCTACGGGATTTTCCTCGTAATAAGAATTTCACAAACAGACACAATAATGACCGCTAAACACGAGCCATGCACAGCTTTTTATCAACGCAACGGTAATTTACAAGGAAGGAGGCGAGAGGTGAGGACAGACACCAGCCTCCTCCTCAATGGTTTTAAATTCTTTTTAACATTATATGAAAACCAGACATTTACATTTGATTTCCTTCTCAACACTATATAGTTCTAAAAGAAAAACAACAAAACAAAACAGAAAACAAACTGAATCAGATCTGAATGTAACAATGGCAACACTCTTACAGGTTCAAGATTCTCGCAGGTGTCAGGGATATATTTATATATATATATTTATTTATATACTATTGGTTCAAAGTACACACACACCACACATGCACACACACGCGCACACACACACACACATACACACATGTGCGTGCACACATACAAACAAACACACAGACACACACACACACACACACACGCACGCACACACACACACACAGGCTTTAAGTTACTTATTCTGACACCAGGGCCCGCTTCCCCCATGCTGCAGGAGGCACCGGAGAAAATCCCCAGCTTCCTCCATTTGCAAGTTGAATCACACATCTAGAAATCCAAGCTGCCTTTCTGGACTCAACCTTTCCCCTCCTAAAAGTGGTGATCTGAATTGGTGACAGAAAGGAACTAAACGAACAAATGACTGGAATGGTGAAAGAAAGGAACTTGTCCGGAAATAATGCAAGAATGTCTTGTCACAGTATCGCTCAAGGCTACAGAGACAGTTTTCATGGCTTTCAATACCCGGCTGATCTCCGTGGAAAGGAGTGTCCCAGTGTTGGCTGGCAAGAGGGAGTGTGGTCCATCACAGGCTTCCCACCCCCCTGTCCCAGCAGCAGCACAGTGGGTCTCCTCTTCCCTACCTGGGACAGCGCAGTGAACAGCTCAGTACGTTTCAATCACTTGGGCAGGGAGACGGGAGACGGGGGACGGGGGACGGGATGGGGACCATGATCCAGTGCTTTGAGCTTCGTGTCTAACACACGTGACACGTCTTTACGAAGGTACTTCACTCACTCACTCACTGGGGAAGCAGACGAGGCAGAGGAAGGCAAGGGCTCTGTGAGTCTGGACTCTGAGAGGCAGAGGGGTTAGGTCAGTCGGGGTCTGGGTAGGTCACCTGCTCTCCTGGTCTTACAAAGCAGGGCCCCTCAGCCTGGGCGGGCTCAGCCATGTGGTACTGCTTGCCCATTCCTGGGTTTGCATGGGGATGCTCGGTGTCTCCCTTCGCCCACAGGATGGTGAACCCCCATGTTTCCTACCCGATCTTCCAAAAAAAAAAAAGGCAGAAGTAACAGGGGAAGAGTGTGGCCTTGCCAGGGGCTGGAGGGGATGCAGGCTAGGAGGCCCTCCTTACGGAATTTCTACCTGGGGAGGCAAGTGCCAACAACTGGAGGTATAGCATCAGGGAAACAGTCTGGCTGGACACCTGTCCTGCCGTTCCATGCTGCAGGCGGCGACAGGACAACGGAGCCCTGCTACCGTTTGGTTCTCCAGCAGCCAGGATCTTAGAACTCACACCTGGTCCAGCTCCCTGACCCTGAGAGGGTCTCCTGTGCTTCCCGACGCTTGGCTTGAGCCAGATGGGCCATGCAAGAGTGCAGCGATGTCAGGCAGGCAGAGCTTACTGTTTGGGTGCAATGCGGTATGGAGGCAGCGTGTTGGGGGATGCAGTGCAGGTAAGCTGGGGATAAGCGCTGTCTCTGTCAGGGGGTGAAGGACAGAGTCCTTCAAGTGCTGGGCCCGAGGGGTGGGTGACTGTTCAAGAGAACCTGGGTTTGCTAGCCTCACTTTTTGGGGGGGGGAGGGGTGTGGGCAAATGACATATGACTTAGCACAGCTGAGACGGTCTTGAGAAGGGGAAAGAGTGGATAGAGAAGGAGGTCAGGGGTCAGGAGTGCCAAAGAGGACAACAAGGAAAGCCTTTAGCCGCTCGGCTGTTGTCAAGATTCATAGAAGTCTCTATCCAGATAGACTCCCCACTTCGGAGAGGCAAAGCCACATCGCAGGGGGGGGGGGGGGGACAAAAGCACACATCTTACTCTTTCTCAGAAGAAAGTATGTAACTTGGGGCTTACAAAAGCGGGGCATACGTATATCAGAGGTGGAACTTACGGAGGGGTCCCCTCCTAGCTCCAACCTAGAGGAAACTGGAACCCCTAAGCCGAGGCCTAGCCCACCACTCGAGAGGACGCCATGAACCTGTGAGAAAGTGTGCGTGGTTGGGACCCATGAATCCTCACAACTCCCAGCCACGGCAAGTTCCTCCGAGGCGTGTCCCGCTGCCCCAGCCTGCCGGCCCACGCACGTGACCGCGTGTCTGCTCGCACGCGCACAACAACACACGCCACGCAGGGCTATCCTCTGTAACCTGCAGCGTCGCAGTATCTTCAGGGATGTCCCCAGCAGTCCAGCCTCCAGCATAGCCCGGACCACACAGCAGAGATGATTGTCTTTGCCCCAGAACAGCCACAGAATCCATGAGCGCGCACCTGCTCGGATGTTAGGTTGCCCCCCAGAGAGAATCACTGACATGCCCGTAGTGTGACAGACTTGAGCCTATGGCTGTTGGCACCGACACCACTCTCACTTTTTTAAAAGGGAAAAAAATCCAGGAAGAAGGATTTCCCTTCCTCTTTTCTTGTTGGGTTATTCTTTTTTTCTCTCTCTCTCCTTCAAAACAATAAAATAAATAGAACGCTTGTCTTAAAAATTCAAATTTAACAAAATCATACGATTGTCTGGTAAATGGGCAATGGTGTCGGCAGGACTCCTCGAGGGAGGGGCGCGGGGGTATTTGGCACATTAACAACCGCCCCCCCCACTCCCTGGTTACCGATCGCACAGCACACAACCTCATCACACAGTTTTGGTCCTTCACTACATACTTATATTAACATCATTTCTTCAGTATAAGTTGTCCAATGCCAAAATACTGTTAAGGAGGAAATAAAATAAGGAAAGAAATGAATTAGAAAAAAAACTACAAGTTATATACAGATTAAGGTAAATTCCATCAGAGAAAGACATTATATGAAGTTGGCCCCTGTAGGAATAATTTAAAGCCCATCTAAGCAGAGAAGTAGACACATCATGACCGTCCCAAGGGAGCAAGGCATCTGGTCCCAGGGGCTGTGCTGCCTCTGCTCTTTGCTGTGGCAGGTTCCCTGGATCCTCCTTTGCTCCTCACCAGGAACGCACACAAAGAACAGATGTGGTGGCTATGCGGTTGGTGGATCTGGAGTCTTAGGCACAGGCAGTGCTTGGCGTCCTGGAGTGGTGGAGCAGGTGGGTGAGCTCCCCACACTCAGTGGCCATGGGGAGGGCATCAGACCGCCAGGGTTGGCGGAAGAGTGGAAGGCTGAAGGTCAGACAGAGCCCTGCCTTCGGAAGAGCAGCAGTCAGGTCCAGCACTGGGGTTGGTTGTGAAGGGGAAAGACCACTAGGTGTCCAGCATGGAAGACCCGAGTCACCGGCTCCCGACTTCCCCATACAATTGGGGGGTCTTGGAGTGGGGGCCGGTGGATTGCTCTGCAGGCCTCATGGGGCGAGACGACAACCTCCCTGACCAGGCCTCCACAAACCTGCAGACAGGCACCATGACCAAGAATTCCTGCGTAGTCAGCATGCTATTCAGACGGCTCCATGCCCCTTATCCTGTGTCAGGGACACCCAGAATCACCTTGGCTTGTACAAACAAACAGGGTCGGGGATAGAAAATTCTCCATTATCTACATTATAAAGGACACACCCGAGCAGTGCTCGACGTCCTGGTAGGTGTGGGCTTGCTGAGATTTCAAAGCAATGCAAAATTACTTTAAAAAAAAACATTTTGCAAGTCATTTTTGATTTTCTTTTTTTAAAAAATACTGTCTATTTTTAAAACCCACATGCTTAAATAGACTCTCTGGTCAATAAGATTACCAAAAGGGTTATTCGTGTAATTTTCATTATAAAAATCATTTTTGCGAGGTCTCTCTCCGTAGCACATGCCCACTCGTTTCCGTTCTCTCCCCCCACCCCTTTCTTCATACCATGCAGCTGCCCAGATGTGGCCAACTGGCTCCTTTTGGGATATAGAGCCCACCCCTGCCCACTGGTCATCTGACAGACGGCTCCCGGGTGGCCGTGCACTGCACCACTGCAGACCATGTCCTCGAGGCCAGTTCTAAGGGGTGGCGAGGGTCAGCGGCTACATGAGGGGCCTTCAGGTTCCGAGTTTCATGGGAGAAGCTGGACTTGAGCCATGGTGGGTGGGGCTGGAAGCCGGTTGAGGCAGAATGAAGATGTCAGGAGCCTCTCCCTGGCCCCTTCTCTGTCTCCCGCAGCTGGTACCCTCCCTGGCTTTGGACTCCAGCTCTGGGGCCTCCAGGACCTCAGAGGTGGTTGATGGGGTTAAAGGCTCCGGACTCTGATGAGGCTCCTGTGATGTTTAACCAAGCATCCAGTGAACTCTGGGAGGGGGCGTGGAGAGCGGCGTCCTCGGAGAGGGACAGCATCATTGCATACGCCTGGTGGGGGGGGGCAGCACACAAGAGGACAGGTGAGGGGCATCCCAGACAGGCAGACCCCGCAAGCATCACCAACTGTCCCCAGCCTGTCTGATCCCCAACCTCAACCCCTGCCCCCACCCAGTTTAGATGGATAAAGGAAAACAAAGGCACTAGAGAGGCCCAGACGCTCCAGCTTGGGAGGGGGAGAGAGGAGTGTATGGGAACAAGGGGTGCCTCTCCTGCCAAGGGTGACACCAGGACACAGCAGACCCTGGAGGAGCCTCTGTGCCCACTGGGATCCCTTGAACTCCTGGGGTGATCCCCTACAATTGCATCTTCATCTCCCTCCAACCCCTGGTTTCTCTGCCCAGTGACTGGCAGAAACCTAATGGTAAGTGTCTGCTCCGGGAGCATGCTGGGGATTGGCAAGAGTTGTTTTTAATTCTGTGCCAGTGAGACTGTCTTTGCTTAGTGGGCAGGAGGCCCGGGGGAACTTGGAATGACTATGGTAGACTCCTTTATGGAGTAGGGGGGAAATGTCTCTGAGCTGATGCAATTATAAGGTAACGTGCTGTGTTTGCTGGCCTCAGACAGTCGTGGGGGCATCCTTCTGCCTCAAGCCATGGGACGGGGCAGGAGGTACCAGGGCGAACGGCTGTGTGGAGTATAGTATAGGAGTTACAGGCGGGTGCTACGGAAGCCCACTATGGGCTCCCTCTACCCTTGAGCAAACACTTAGTTAGAGACAAAGACAGACACGCAGACGAATCGGGGTGAGAATCCTGAGGTGATGCTGGGAAGGCTGCCGAGGGCAGAATGAGAGCCAACCCCCTCTAGATGTCCAAACAATGGGGTGCAGAGTCCTGCGGCCACTGTCCCTGAGACGTGAACACAGAAAGTGCCCAGGACAAGCCCGTACCCTCTAGGACCCGGTTCTAGCTCCATCTCGGAAGCAGTGATCTCCTGAAAGGGACTTTCCCTGAAACAGCAGGGTAGCCAGCCACTCATCCAGGCTCAGAGGGGAGGAGATCCAGGCAGCTGTTCCCCATTGGGGGTGGGATGGGCAGGGTTGGGAAAGTTGCCCTCACTTGTGGTCAGAGAGCTAGCTCAAGTTTATCTGCCTTCAACCCCCCCACCCCCGCCAGCTCTACCAGAGTGCTGGGGGCTTACATTGGGCTATCTCTTTAGACAAGGCAGTGGGCCCGGGGCGGAGCTGGGGGGGATATGGATCTGAATGTCCTCCAGGACTCCTGGGATAGCTATAGCCGGGAGTGCTCAGGTTATCTTTTGGGTGATGAGCCATGGTGGCCGCTTACTGTCTAAGCCAAGAGGAAGTGTAAAGGAGGGGGTGAGGGCTCTGCTGGGTACCTACCTGGTTCTTAGCCTGCCTGTACAGGGTCTGTTTTAAAGCCTCAGAATCTAAGGTGGAATTAAGCACATCTTTAACTTCAAATGCTTCCTCAGCTGCTCTGCGGAGATCCAGCCCCTTCCCAAAGGTTGGCGTCGGCTCCAAAGCTAACAGACCGCCTGCTCGCTCCTCAACACACCTGCACCAAGGACCAGGGAAAGGGGCCTGGGGTCAGCTCTTTGGCCGCTGGTGGCCTCTCTCTAGGGCTTCATGGCTGGTCCCCATGCCTGCATGCACGCCACGGGTTCCCACAAGCCACATGCACAAGGAGACAGACACACAGACACACAGACACCTAGATGGGAAGCCACACGGATGTGGAGGAGCAGACAGAGGGACAGCAGGAAGGCTGAACGCGTGCACACGTCACAGGCAGCAGGCAATGTGGTCTTCGGGGTAAAGGGTGAGAGGGAAGCTTTCGTTTTCTTTCCTGAGACTCTGGGCAGCTTTTGGAGGGGTCCTGGCTGCCCTACCCAACCCCAGGACCAAGAGGGCTAAGGAAGAAATGCTGGCTCCAGAGGGCCAGCCTAGGGCATCTCAAATACTGACACTGTCACCACTGACAAAGTAATCGGCGAACAGTTAGGACACGGGGACGTGGCTCTGGCCTGGACAACTTCTAAAATCACGGGCGCTGGGCCACAGCCCACCAGAGGCTGCACCCAGCGGTCCCAGGTAGATGGGGTAATGAACAGCCGCACAGCAGAGCTGAGGCCTCCTGAGGTAGGGTCAGCACAGTGCACCCTTCCCGTCCTCTTCCCCACTCCAAGCTTCAGGGAGACCCGGAGGAAAAGAGTGGAGACCCTGAACTCTGGCTAGCATCACCCCAGACCTAGCTCCAAATGCCTGGCGGTAGCAGCACCTGCTGGGCAGAGGTTAGGCCAGGCTGGAGGAGGTGGTTCCGGAATGGTGGCCTCGTATTCAGGTCCCTCCCACCCAGCCGACTGATTCCCCGGCACTTGGCCACCCCCACCTTCGGGTGTGGTCGAAGCCCATGGTTAGGGAGTTGGGTGGTTCCTCATCCTCCTCGTCCTCATAGACTCCTTGGGGCTCAGGTGTGGGGGACACAGTGTCTTCCTGTGACTTCCCGGCTAAGCTGTCATCATCCTCTTCCTCCAGGTCCTCCTCTTCCTCCTCCTCCACATCCTCCCGCTTTGCGCCGGCTGAGCCCGGACATGGGGGGTTGCTGTCCAGGTCTTGGGTCTCAGGCCTGAAATGACAGGTGGGGAAGTTGGCTGTGTTCAGGGGCCATCCTTCTTACCGCAGGCCACGGAACGTGGCTCTCCCCCTTGGCCTTCCCAGCCCTTCAAAATGAGCTAAGCTGGCATCTGTGATCACTCGAAGAGGGAGATACAGGTCTAAAGGCAGTTGCCGACTTCCTCACCCAGGAATGAGAGCGACGGAGGAGGTAGGGGGATCCAGAAGAGATGGGGGCACCCCCGAGGGAGAAAGGGGGACAGAGCAGGGTCCCTGAGGGACAGACACCAGGCCATTTGGGGGCCAGTGAGAAATGTGGGTGTTAGGGAGGAAGCTATGACCAGGCCTGGAGAGGAGGGGTCCTGTAATGGTGCTGGCGTTGGATGCTACACAAAGGGGAACCCTCTGGACGCTGGCATATAAGTGCTCAGATGCCTGGGGCTCTGTGTTACCCATCTGTGCACGCACCTCCAAGCCAGCCATGAGATCTCAGGTTGCAGAACTTGGGGACCGAGGGCTGGGTTCGGGCTGCCGCTGCTGCTAACAGAACTGCCAGGATGGGCTGGCTTCAGGGAATGTTGGTCCCAGCTTTCAGCCTAGGCGCTAACTCACAGCCTACCATGGTCTCCGTGGTCTAGGCAGATCTCAGACACTCTCTTGGTCTCTCTCTCAGTCTCACTGAGTCCTCTCTCTCTCTCTGCATATACTATGTATGTATGTATGTCTGTATGTATGTATGTGCGTATGAGTACAATCGCATGTGTCTAAACGGAGGCCAAAGGTCAACCACCCACGTCCTCCTCAGCCACTGTCTGCTACGAGGGTCTCTCACTGGCCTGGGCTCACCTATTTGGATAGACTGGTGGCTGCCAAGTCTCAGAGGTATCTGAGCCTGCATCCCCAGCACTGGGAACACAGGATGTCATACCATACTCTTTTCGTCTTTAAACATGGATTTTTTTTGAGGCTTGAACTCAGGACCCTCATGCTTGCACAATGACTGGACCACGTCCTCAATCTTTTGAGCAAGAATTTATTAAAAAAAAAAGATTTCATCTCTTTGCATGTCTGTGTGCGGATGTGTGTGTGCACACATGTGGGTGCCCAAGGATGACATTAAGTGGAGCTGGACATTAAGTGGACCTTGAGCTGGGTGCTGGGAAATGAACTCCAGCCCTCTGGGTGAGGCCTCTATCCAGGTCCTGGGCAAGACTTTTTGAGCTTTGGCTCCCTATGCACGGAGGGTGAGCCAGATCCATTTCTTTCAAAGGGGCTTTGCCAGTCTGTCTCAAGTTGAAGTCAATGACCACACTGTGTTCCCTAGGGGCTGCGGCCATGCGGGCAGTGTCCACTCCAGCAGAGGGCACAACAAAAGACAAATGAGCCTTGGGTCCCACACCTAGAGCTCCCCCCCCCCCCCGTTCTCCATTCGCACTCAGTTCTTGCGGTCTTGGGGGAGAGGGGCATGCAGTTATTGCCAGTGAAGACGGCATCTTAGTTAAGTGGACTTGTGAGGTGGTGTCAAGCCCTTGGCTGTATAGGTGGGGCTGAGCTGGGGTGATTCCGTCGCAGAGATGTTCAGACACCATCACCAGTTTCTTCCCAACGTGCGGGACACTGCCTCCTGACCTGCCGGCCCTCCGGGACAGGCAGAATCTTGACAGGCTTTGAGGCACCATGTGTCCCTGGCTTCTAGTCCACCTGTGTTGGGGGGCCAGCCAAGAATATGCTGAGTTCATCCCCCAGCAGGGAAAGCTCCAGGTCAGGCGGGGTCTGGATCATACCCCCCCCCATAGTTGTAGGGTAGGAGCCCCAAGCTCCTTCTAAGGACAGGAAGAGAAAATGTGGGCCAAGAGCCCAACCTGACCCTGGGCCACCAGGTAGCTGTGTGAGTAGGCCACACCTGCTGGTTGGTCTTCGGCAGAGCTAAGAAGGACCCTGCTGTCTGGGAGCAGAGGCCACGCTATCTTTTCTTGCGTGCCCACTCTCTGGTGTGCAGTCCAGCGGGGACAGCGGGAGCCCTCACCGGCTGGTGTCAGCTTCAGGTAGGAGGGCGGCTTTTCCGGCGAGGACAGGAAAGTGCCCTAGGGGTAGGTGTGCTAGCACCCTGGCTGGCATGACCCGCAGCAGTAGAACCGATAGCCCCAGGGCCGGGGAAGCAAAAGGCGGAGAGGACAGGGTGTGGCATAGCTGGTTCCTGGGGATTCTGAGGTAAAATCCGGTGTCTTCCATGGTTCTTGGTCAACAAGTAGCCTCTGCATTTTACCTTCTCATGTCCTTGGTCAGCCAGTAGCCTTCTCGTGTGTGTGTGTGTGTGTGTGTGTGGTGTGTGTGTGCTGTGTGTGGTGTGTGTGTGGTGTGTGTGTGGTGTGTGTGTGTGTGTGGTGTGTGTGTGGTGTGTGTGTGTGTGTGGTGTGTGTGTGTGGTGTGTGTGTGTGGTGTGTGTGTGGTGTGTGTGTGTGTGGTGTGTGTGTGTGGTGTGTGTGTGGTGTGTGTGTGTGTGTGTGGTGTGTGTGTGGTGTGTGTGTGGTGTGTGTGTGTGTGGTGTGTGTGTGTGTATGTGTGTGTGTGGTGTGTGTGTGTGTGTGGTGTGTGTGTGTATGTGTGTGTGTGTGGTGTGTGTGTGTGTGGTGTGTGTGGTGTGTGTGTGTGGTGTGTGTGTGTGTGTGTGTGTGTGTGTGTGGTGTGTGTGTGTGGTGTGTGTGTGTGTGTGGTGTGTGTGTGTGTGGTGTGTGTGTGTGTGTGTGTGGTGTGTGTGTGTGTGTGTGTGTGTGTGTGTGTGTGTGGTGTGCCTGTGTTGTCATTTGCGGAACTGTCCCCATCAACCAGCAGGACTTTGCTGTAACTCTATCACCTCTATAGAGACCCTATCCCTAGTCTCCATCGGAGGCACTGTGTAAAGAGAAGCTTTTTCCTTGAGAGAAGCCTTCCCGCCAGCCTGGTTCTAGAGCCGCATCAGTCCCAAATAAACACACAGGAGGCTATATTAATTATGAAGCTGTTGGCCTTGCTTGTTTCTTACTGGCTAGCTCTGACTTAAGTAATTACCTCATAATTGTTAATCTAAGTATGTTTCTTACCGGAGAATAGTTCCGGGCTTCCTATCCCATGGTGTTACATCTTGACTCTCTGTGTTTCTCCTTCCCAGAGTCCTCCTGGACTCCTAGTCCCACCTATCTAGATTCCTATTGGCCACACAGTGCTTTATTGACAAATGCACAGGACTTCCCCAACAGCACTGGGTTAGGATTTCCCAGTTGATCTCTGGGACACAGTTCAGCACATGGCTATTCCTTTGGGTTGGCCTGGAAGGCATTAGATTCTCACTGATCACTAAAGGAAGGACTCAACAGTGAAAGAGACTTAGATAATGTGGGTACCAGGCCCAGCTGGGTCTGCTCTCCTCCCCACCAGACTGCCAAGTAATGGAAACATCACATATGCTTGCTCTAATAGCAATAGTGGTGACATGCGGGGGGCGGGGAGGGGATGGTCTTCCTTAGGCTCCTTGGCTCGCAGGACAAAGCCAGCTGGACCTCAGAGAACTCCCTCAACAGATTGACTGCGTTTAGGAGGGGGCTGGCCCTGCTATGTTGCCAGCAGTGTTGAATGCGAGGGAGGGTTGTGGGGAGCTCTGTTAGAATACCCATGATCTGCTTAGGTTGGGTGGCAACTTCTCTTCTTTTCGCAAATGCCTCTTCTTCCACTGGGTCATGTAGGTGGTCCCCTGGCCTTCCACTGTGACTCAGAGCTGTCTTTTGAGTGCCCAGGTACCTGGCAGCCCACCCATGCCTGGTTCTGGTCCATCCCAGTAAGGAAGAGTCTTCATTGTTCTTTGGGTGGTTCTCCCTTGGAGCGTGAGGAAGCCATGGTCTGAGCTTGTCTTCAGCAACAGGGATATTTTCTCCTGCTCTCTGCGGGGTCAGGGAAGGTAGCTCACTCACACACAGCTTCCTCTGAAGGGAGGACATCAAACTGCTGAGCAAGTGGGTGGTTCTCAGATATGTCACATCCTGAGTGACAGAGTCAGGTTCCTTTCAGAGCACCGTACCTAAAGCCAGGATGGGCATGCCAGGGTACTTAGCAGGCTGTAGCCTGGGCCCTGGTGCATAATCAGGGGTCTCCAGGAGCAAAAACCACAGCCTAAGAGCATTGGTGCTAATGATCCGGGTCGGTCTGTGTTGGTCTCTCCCAAAGCACTGGACAAGAGAGGCACAGCCCGCCTTGGAGGTGCAGACAGGTGCTTGAGGGAACACATCTCTGGGGAACCCTCCCTCACTCCCTCAAAGTGTTTTGTGGATGGCAAGCTGGGCCCTGGTGGCACAGAGCTGTAGTTCATGATGCTCACGCAATAAAGGCTGGCTCCCGGCTCTAGGTTGTGGGTTGGCTGTGGACTACAGCAAGGCACCCCACTCCCATGGGTTCTCCTCTTCTGAACCAGAGATCCATCCCATCCTGAGGTTTCTTGGAGGGGGTGGTTTACAGAGCTTCTGCTTCTCAGTGACTTCTCTGATCAGTTTATTTTCCTGGGGTACAGAGACGTCCTTGTAGAAGGGAAGAGTTTTCTGAGTAAAGGGCACGCTGGAGCCTGCATGTGAGGTTTTAGAGAACACCTCCAGAGCCTGGTTGAAGTCTGCCACCTCTCTGTGCATCTGTGCAAGTCTGTGCATATATGCATGAGTATACATACACATCCATGTGCATACATACCACACCTATTTACTACATGTAGATGCATGCACACACACACTTCTGCTTGCACATGCCCATGTGTGTTTGTGTACAAACCATCTTTGACTTACAAAGGTTTTAAATTTTACAACGGTGTGAAGATGACCAGAAGGATCCACACTGTGTCGCTTGACCTTTCCCCATGCCACGCTATGCACAGGTACAGTATTCCCAGGAGATGCTGGGCAGGGCCAGGGAATCTGCTCCCGGGCAGCTTGAGGACACCAGGGCGTAGCCAGTACGCTATCGCACACTGCACCCTCGGTGTCTTGATGTGGGCGGGCGGGCTTTTGGTCAGTCGCCCAAGAGTTGTTCCTGTCTGCATTACAGACGAGGCTACCTGTGGCAGACGGTCTGCGTAGCACCCTACTGTGTGTTTCCTGAGTGTCACGGAGCAGGGGTTGGGGTGTAGAGGCTTGCTGAGCTGTGTTTGGTGACTTAGGCCCACTGAATATATCACTGAATGACGATCTTTCTGCTTTGTGGGATTTCCATCTCATAGCCTCGTTGTCAGTTGATCTCTCTCTCTCTCTCTCTCTCTCTCTCTCTCTCTCTCTCTCTCTCTCTCTCTCTCTTCTCTCTCTCTCCTTCCCTCCCTCTTCCATATGCACGTTTAAAGGGGCAGCATTTCTGTCTGGAAAATTCTGGAAAATGGGTGCCGGAGCTGCAGTGTAGGAGCTGCAGTGAGGAACTGGAGCTCTTCTTGTTTCTAGCAACAGAGCCTGGGACTTCCTCCAGTGGGACCTAGCACCACGGCGGGTGGGTGGGGGTGGGAGGGGGCGGTACACCTGGGGCAAGACCATTGGGGCAGCTGAGTCTAGGCCTTCCCCCCCAGGGGGCCGGCCTGCTTTCCTTACCGTTTGTCCATCCGAGTAGACGCCTGGTTCATCTCGCTGTTGGCGATAAAGTTTCGGATCTCAGAGAAGTAGGAATCTTCCTTCTCGTCTAAAAGTGCATGGTTGTCCGACTCGGAGGTGGGGGAGGAGGCGCCGGTGCCCAGGTGGTTTGTGAGAACCCCAGAGTGCTGGCTCACTGTGGGAGGGGCTGAGTGTCAGGGGGCATTCTGGGTACACCAAAGCCCCCAGCTTGGGGCCATCTCAGGGGACTGTACCTTGGAGAGCTGTTTGAGGGGTGGAGTTACCCATGGCCCCGCCCCTCCGGCTCTCATCCCTTGCCCGTCCTCCGCCGTGCCCCACAGCCCACCAACCTGGTGCACCCTCGTGCTCGTGTTTCTTCAGGTGCCGGTCCAGGTTGGTCTGCTGCCCGAAGCAGCGGTTGCACAGGTGGCATTTGAACGGCTTCTCCTTGTTGTGGATGTTCCTCACGTGCCGCTGGAGGTTGGAGGAGATGCTGAACGACCGATCGCAGTACTTGCACCTGGTTAAAAAAAAAAAAAAAAGGGTGCCCTTTGCCTCAGAGGAGAGGAGACCCGGTGTGGTGGGTCAGGGCCAGACCTCAGTCTCCACAGCAGCTGTGGAGTCCCTGAGGCCACCTGGATACCCAGCTGGAGAGCTCGGGTGGTCCCAGGGTTGCATTCTCTAGAGACTGGATATCCAGGCCCTGTTTGAATCGCCCCTGAGCTAGTGGAGGGAGTTAAGAGGCGGAGATACACAGCGTGAGATGTCGTTCTTCGGCCAGCCTCAAGAGGGCAGCCTTGAAACACGGAAACATACACAGACTATGCAGGCAGGTTAACAGCCATGGGAAGGCCTGGCTCTGGCTTTTCTGACTGGAGACCTTGGGCAAGCCCCATCTCACTTAGGGACTCAGTGTGACTATTAATATTCTTAGTGTCCCTGAGGGCTAGGCGGGGGCTTTTGGCCTTGTGGCCTTGACCGCTGGGGCCAGCCAGTAGCCACGCTGAGCTCTTACTTCAAGGCACCGCCAGCTCCTGCAGGATCAGATTATTGTCGTGTCCCCCACTAGGTTGACCAAGCACTGGAATTAGAAAAAAAGATGCTAGTGGCCAGCATGCATTTTATCAGGAATCGCGGTGCAGTTAGAGGCCAGGAGGGATGTCTGCTGTGTGTGTGTGTGTGTGTGTGTGTGTGTGTGTGTGCCCATGCCCCCAGGTGTGGCCTCAGTGGCCCTCACAGCAGAGAACAGAGGCCTGCTACCCCCCACCCCCAGTTTCAGAACAGGCCCAGGCAATACCCACAACAAAGAAACCAAGCCGGAAACAAAGAGGAGCAAGTGATTTAAGAAGGAACCTTCCAAGCCCTGCAGCACACGTGCTCTGCCTCGGAAAGGAGCCATGTCTGCATTGTGGGAAGCCTGCGCTGTGGGGTGGCTGACAGGGCTTTCCTGAGGACCTGTCCACACAGGCAGAGCAACCCTGGAGCAGCAATCCTGATGCCGTGTTTTTATTGCATATGTGTGCATGCCCCCTCTCCACCTCCGTGTGTGTGCGTGTGTGTGCGTGTGTGTGCGTGTGTGTGCGTGTGTGTGTGTGTGTGTGTGTTTACAAGGACATGTGTGTGCTCAGGCCTATGAGAACACACCTGTGAAACTGGCCATCAGAAAGACTTCTGGGTGTTTATCTGGATCTTAGAGGCACACAGCACTTAAAAACTATGTTTGTGTGATTGTATACTTTCATATTTGGGAAATGAGTCCCGCTAGGTGACAGCCCAGCACACAAGATTTCCAGTGCCAGCGCCATGAGACACTCTGCCCTCCTCTCTGGAGTCAGAGACTGTGATGTCAGCCCCAGCGAGACAAAGATGGGGGGCTTTTCTCCACCCACAGGGGTGTGTGACTGTTCTAAATACAGCAGCCTTGCATTCCTATGGGTCCTACCCCACTGCGATTTGGGGCTGGTGGCCTGCTCTAGAGTAGCACTCTGGTCACGAGCCTTTGTCATGTGGTTGAGGACATGCCTGAGGACACCAGGGACACAGCCAGGAGGGGCTGTGCCAAAGCTGCTTTTATGACATCGTGCCGTTCCCGTACAGGAGGGGGCCCGGGCCCAGAGACTAAGATCGGAGGTCTGTGTGAGTTGTGGTGGGCCCCCCCATCATGTTCTGTGACAGGGTGTGTCTGCTTGTGTTTCTGTCCCTGTTGGAGCCCAGAAACCTCAAGGGTTGCAGTTATTTAACTTTGCCCTTGGACTCTAGAGCCTGAAAGTCCTCTGGTTCCTGGCTTCTAGATAAAGCTGAGGAAGTTTAAGGCCCTGGAGAATAGGAGGCTTCTCTGAGAGGGGCCCTCCCTGTTGCCCAGGCTCTTCCTTCGGGCTTGGCCGCTGCCAACACTCCCAACCTTGAGTTTGGTGTTACTCTTCAGGGTTCCCTTACTCAGTCGCTATAGCCTCCAGCCTTGCCTGAGACCAGGCTCCCCTGGCTCTGTCTGTACTGTTAGCTGCCTCACCAGGCTCTTGGTGACCTAGCCTCTTCCCTGAAGCACAGGTTTAGGGCCTCTCTATTCTATCTCAGATTGTCCCCAGTGGCCTCTGGGGCATGTGGGTGTCCTTGGTCACAGCATTTCTTCCTATAGCCTGGGAAGCAGCCCGACTCATGTGACCACCTGCAACGGTATAGCCGCTGGTTTTCTCAGCCTGAGTATAACAGACTTCAATCCTTCATGCTCCGCACCCTCCTACAGAGGCAACAGTCCCAAAGGAATTTCACCTCTCACCTGCAACCCCCCCCAAACCCTAAGGCATACAGACACCTTGACGGAGCCAGCCAGGCCCAGGTCTTTCCGCTTAGGAAAGGAAAACCTGATTTGCATCTGCAGAGTAACACCAAGGTCAAGCTGCCCACCACGGGACTGGGAGTTCACACCACCAGGATGAGAGTTCTCTGCCGATGCCACTGGTCAGCCAGGTGGCCCCTGTGTGTGTGTCGGTCCGAAGCCCTCCCTCCCCATCCTAGCTCTGGACTAGACGGGGGGGGGGATAAAGTGAGATGGACAGGGGATAACGGGGGTCGGGGGTCAGAAGGATAGAGCTCTAGAGCCAGGACGGACCGTGTGTTCCGTCTGCTTGCGGTGTCCTGAGTGTAGCCTCTCCTTGTTCTAATCTAAATAAATGGCCCAGGCAGAGACGTCCACTTGAAATTTAGGGGAGCAGAGAGCCCAGGGCTGCGAGGGGAGCAGAGTTCGCCCAGCCCGCGCTGTGAATAAGCTGACAGGCGGCTAGGGGAATTTACAGCCATGCTGCATAAAAGCAACACACACCATTGTGCTCGCAGAACGAGAGGGGCACGGGCGGCTCAGTCGGGAGCTCTGGGAGGACCTTGCTGTGACCGTGCCTGTGGCAGTTCCAGGGAAGTGAGGGGTGAACAAGGCAGGAGAGGGTGAAGCCATGCCTCCCCGACCCCAGGCAGCTGCATCTCCCCGGAGACGCAGGAGGGCTCCCCAAGCCACTGCTTCGTTGTCGTTTTGAAAGTGAGGACAGAAAAGGAAAGGAGAGGTTAGAAATGTTCTAGGAATAAAAACGAACAAGGAAGAGGCCTTGGAGGGGCTGCCTGCAGCCCCACCCGACACTGTGTCGGCTCTAACACAGGACACAGACCAGGGGTCGGGAAGGGAATGAGGGCTACACAACCTCACTCTGGGGGGCGAACATGCCTGAAGCGGGAGCCACAGGCCTGATCAGGAGTTCCAGGTTGGTTCAGGGAGGCTTGCCTCCACAGGTGATGCAGGCTATGCCCGACAGCCAGGAGAACCTCTACTTGAAAGTTGGAACTCAACTTTTACATTTAAGATTTTTTTCAGTTAAAAACGAATATGTGTGTGAGTGCCTATGTGTGTACATGTTCATGTGTATGCGCTAGTGTGCGCACCCATGTATATATGCATGTAAGTACACATTCGTGTGGAGGCCAGAGGTTGACACTGGATGTCTTTTTACTGTTGCTTTTCTACTTTATTTCTTGAGGGCCTTTCATTGAATCTGGGTTTCACTAGACTGGCTGGTCAGAAAACTCCAGGTGTCTTCCTATCTCTGCCCAGTTAGCACTGAGATTACAGGGACAAACTGCCATGACTAGCTTTTATGTGGGTCCTGGGGATCCAAATGCAGATTCTCATGCATGTAAGACCATCCCCAGTAGATCAGATCTTTCCACCTCTGCAACCCAAGTCTGTGAAGCCTACATGCTGGAGTCTTAGCGTGTGAGAGTGTTATTATGTGCTCTCCAACTTCAGGAGAAGATTTCAAAGCCAGGAGTGCTAAGGACCGCTTCCTGGCTGGAGTGTATGGGAAAGCGGCCTCTGGGGAAAGCAGAGGCCACCCGTGTCAGACATGGAGACACATGTGAAACAGACATATTTCTGAGGGCTTCCCCATCACCCAAGGCAAGCTTCCTCATCTTTCTTCGGAAGGCCTCTGGAGGGTGCATACACCCACATGTGCACACGCAGTGACTTTGCACATGCGTGTGCTGACACCGAGGTGGGCATCATACCGGATCAAGCAGCCTTGCCAGGCCTTTGCTCTGTGCAGTGGTCTTTCAGGATGGGCTATGCTTTCTCCTGTTACAACTTAAACTCCTTCCAGTTATCAAAGCAAGACCAAGGTCCCCAGTAATATCAAGAGGCAAGCTGCACACTTTTAAACCCCTTGGCGAAGGCCTGCCTCGAGCCAGATAAAGTCAGGATTTGCAACACAAACTTGCAAAGCAATTATTGTTACCAAAGTCGAAACTCTCAGATTGGAGAGAGCAAAAGAAATCAATGATAATTAAATTCTTCTATAAACACGGCCCCTACCCTCTGGGGGCTCTTAGCACGACACGCTGTCCAGGAGTCGGCTCTCATTACAGAAAAAACACAGGGCTCGTTTTCTGGGCGAGGACCAGACCAAATAAATCTTTCTGTTGCTCGCCTTTGTTAAGTTGTAAGTCACTATTTTCAGAGAGTAGACGGGGGGGGGGGGGGTGGCTGCGTGTCGGGGAGGGCTGGGAGGCATGGGACACAGAACTAGAAAGAACTGTCGTTCATTCTGCTGGCACAGATGTGGGCCTGTGGCCACCAGGGATGCTCTGTATACCTGAGCGGGGCTTGGGGGATCACAACACATGCAACCCACATGGGATCCCCGGATGCAGGGAACCGGCACACAGACCGAGTCCCCCAGGGCTCCATCGTCACGTGGCCACTTCCTGGTGAAAGGAGCTCTGCATGGACACAGTCTGGGAATCTAATGCCACCGGTCTAAACCGAAGCTAAACTCTTTCTTTCCCAAAGCCTCAGCCAGCTAGACACACCCCAGAACGTGTTGCTAAACTGGTCCTGGCAGAGAAGTGGCCGTTTCCCTGTTTGTCTCAGGGTGACAATTGCCTGAGTTCTGTTTAAAAAGGCCCACTCCCTGGCTGGGAGCATGGGGCAAGAAACGTCTGCATCCTCAGCTCTCTTGTGCAAAAACAAAGGCTCAAGGGCAAGAGGGACAGGGGCACGGGGCTGGAACAGCAGGCAAAAGTGGCCATAGGTTCCGACCCTTGGGGAACCTCAGGACATCTCTAATCAGTAACTCCTCAGCTTTGAGGTAGGGACAGTAAGACCCACTAGGACGCTGCTCCGTGTCACTCGGCAACTCTCGTATCCCAAGATTCTGCGTGGCTCACTCTCTACTCTAGCGACATATGTGTGTGAGTGCCTATGTGTGTACATGTTCATGTGTATGCGCTAGTGTGCGCACGCATGTATATATGCATGTAAGTACACATTCATGTGGAGGCCAGAGGTTGACGCTTGGGCTACTGCAGGGACTCGAGGGCATTCCATATTTGTTGAAGAGATCATACTCGGGGGGGGGGGGGAGGAGGTGGCTATGGTCACCATGAAAGGGACAGGACTGGATGGGGCTGGCTAAGGTTCTCCTAGGGATCTGTGGAGAACCCAGCTTCAAGCCACATCTCTCTCTCTCTCTCTCTCTCTCTCTCTCTCTCTCTCTCTCTCTCTCTCTCTCTCTCTCTCTCTCTCTGATTTTGATTGCTTGCCCTGGTTGATTACTTTAGCTACAGGAAAGGAGAGGTTCTTTTACATCTTCTTTTAGGAGCTTGGAAGGAACCTTCTAGAAGTTTCCGGGGCACCTCCTGCCTCATCCTTACACTCTTCTAGGGAGCAGGGGGACGGTGGGCCAGGAGATAGAGGCAGACCGTGTCAGAGCCAGATCCCACTGAACATCGTGGCTCCTGTCCACTATCCTTCCACTAACCATAGTCCTGTGGGTGGATCTGAATGTAGGTGTTTAGAAAGGGTGCATAGAACCAAATGGGAAAAATTCTCTCCCCCCAACCCCCGCCACTAACCCTAGGTGACTCCTACCTGTAAGGCTGTTCCCCAGTGTGTGTCCTCAGATGTCTTGTGAGATTCGCAGATCTGGGGAAGATCTTGCCACAGTACCTGGGGCAGAGGGAAGAGAGAGAGGTTGGAGAGGCATTAGGGTGGTCCACACGGCCCTTTCCCACATTTCCCTTCATCCAGAGCCCCATGCCTGAATTCCACTTTATTATCCCCTCTTTGCCTCGGTCCCAGACGTCTCACAAAAGCACAGAGCAGAGGGAACCGGCCGTCACTCCTCCAGTCTGGGGGTTGGGTGGGGGCATCGTGTCTGTCTGGGATCAGCAAGGGAGCCTGGGAGCGTGTCCTCCCAACACCGTGACCCACGGCGGAAACTACAACACCGGGCTCAATCCTTCCTAGCGCTGTAGCTAATGCTGACCAGCTGTTCCCCCCTGGCCTCTGAGCTCAGCCAGGTGAGGCTGGAATGGCACAGCGTAGTGGTGGACGGTTCTAGAAGCCCTACCCACACGAGTCACGTGCAGAAGGCGACATCACGCAAGACAGTGTGCTCACCACGCTTCTCCATGACTGTAGCTCGGCCTCTTTCAGGGACAAGCTCACAGCCGCAGGGCAGGGATGCGGTGCAGCCCCTCCCACCGGCACCCAAGGGGCACGCAGTGCCTACCTGCATGTGTATCTCTCCTTGCCCTTTCTGAGGATGGGATCCGAGAGCGTTGGGGGTGGGGACCGGAAGTTGAAGGGGTGGTGAGGCAGGGGCTGCAGGGAGCTGCCGGAGTCGGCCTTCATGGCTGCAAAACTCTCCAGCTTCTCCGTCATGGTTTCTATGGCTGACATCTGCAGGCGTGGAGAGGGCAGAGAGGTCAAGGACTCAGGCCTAGCTGTCACCTGTCTTCAGAGATTGGGCATGCCCACTCTGCCTATACCCCAAGAGCTTCGCCTCTGCATGTCAAGTCTCAGGCCCAGAAGGGCTTGGTGATGATGGGGTTGGACCCCGGAGGGTACAAGCTACTTAATGCACAGCAGTGATGTCTGTTTCTCAGAAACTTTCTCGACATGGTTACCAGGCTCTTTCTGTCTGAGTGACAGTCTATCAGACCGCTTAACTGGTGACCCATACGGTCATCTCTTTTCTGCCTCTTCACCCTGGCTCTGGGCCACAGTGGCAGGCAGAGAAGGTAGGCCCATGGGAGCCGTGGGCAGAAGGGACAATGGGTATCTGGGCCCCCCACAGGCCTCTCTTCCTCAGGCCGGGTGGGTCCTGCCTGGCTGGCCTGCTCTGCCCCACCAGACATTCCCGTGAGCTCCTAGCGAAAACACAAACACCGGATGAGCCTGGCTGGCTAGTCGACTTTTTCCAGCGGGCCCTGGGAAAATTGGGGGAAGCTATTAACCAAACTCTGAGGCCCGACGGAACAATGGCAGCTCTAAGTTTAGCTGTGAACTCAGCCATGGTGCAGGTTTCACAGGCCGGGGCTTACTCAAGGCGGGAAGCTCAGGGAAGAACAATGCTCTATGCAGGGTTAAGATTCGGTGCTGGCGGCGGTGGTGAGCTAGGCTGAAGGGCTATGACCTGCAGCTCAGGGGAGGGGCCGGACCATTGCAATGGGCAGGACAGGACAGGACACTTGGAGGACTTTCCCTTGGGCTGTGCCCTGGGGCTGGGGGTGGAGGTGGGGGAGGAGCACATGGCCTGGGGGCCACAGGCAGGATCATTAGCAGGCTGGAGGGGTCTATACTCCATTTTCTGACAGTGGGGCTTTCCTGGATTCCACGGAGCTCCTTGCAAATAGCCTGGCTTCCCTCTGGGTTTCCTCTATGCCTTCCTGCTTAGTCTTGCCCGTGCCTCTTCCCGCAAAGGCCTGTCCTGTCTCTGGTCCTTTCGCTGAAGCATGCTAAGCTATCACCCGCCACCCCCACACACAAACCCCACCCCAGGAACACCAGCCCCAGGGTTTCCTTACGTCCAAGACAGTGATCCACTGGTCACCCTACACCAGCCATACAGCCCTTCCTAGGACCTGGGGCCCCCTCTCAAGCACGGGGCTACTTTGGACAAGAGGCCCCTAGACCAGGCCAATGGCTTCCACGTGAGAACCACCTGTTTTCCTATGTCCACCAGCTCCACCACGACCTATGAGGCCTGCAGAAAGTTCCCTCTGCCTCCCGGGAACCAGAAACCCGAGGTCCAGAGCTTGTTCATGGGGGGGGGTCTAAGTACACCCATCTCAGACGCCCACTGTGGTTGTTACCTGGGGGTGGAACAGTAGTGAGGACGGCCTCAGGTACTTCTCTTTCAGGACTCCCACAGGGTCCGTCACCTTCCGCTTTTCTACCCTGCTGGACAGCAACACAGAGGGTTACGTACCCCCACCGAGCCACTTGCACCCCGGTATAGCATTGCTGTGCCGTGCTGGTCGTGAGGCTGCTGTGGTGTGTGTGTGTGTGTGTGTGTGGCAACAGGGTTGCCCAGCCAACTCCTACGTGAATTCCAATGGACCCTGAGGATGGTGGGTATAAGGCCCAGCTGCCCCCCGGCCCAAGATTTCCCCAGCTTCCTGATAGTCCCATTACCACTCCCAACTTTTCTGAGCTCCCTTGCATTCCCTCCAACAGTCATCGCCTCCTGTGGGAGGACGGAACGTTTCTGTGCCTGCAGGCCCCACGTGCACCGGCCTCCTACCGGTCGGCTGGTCATACATGCGTGATGGGGGCCGTCCTCGGGGTCTCCAGCCACCCACAAGTTACTCTGCACCGCTGTAGGGGCTCACTGCTATCCCGTCCCGGCTGGTTACCCGCACAGGGCACTTTACCTATGTATGCTGACAAACGTGAGTGGCAAACACCTTTCTGTCCTGGGGGAAGTTACCAGACACTTCCTTCCTACAGCAGCCAGGCAGATTGTACCTGAAACCCTTCAGTGGGTGCTGGACTCTGACGTTCAGCGACAGCTCGTTAAACAGTAAATCCCCGCGGCCATTTCTTTTTGTGCCCCCCCCCCCAATACCCAGCAAAGGCTGCGCTCCTATCTCGGGCATTGGTGGTGTAGAAGCCCACGAGGTTTGCTCAAACCTGCTGACCCTCTTGTTGTCCTGTTCCCTCCCTCCCACCCCCCCCGCCGCGTGCCCAGAGACAGAATGAGCTTTTTTCCCCCTAAGCCGCTCACTCACATCCCACATGGACCCTGGCCTGGCCTCGCTTCGCCCACCCTTGGGCGAAGCCTTTGTTCCCCTGCCTTCCAGGGGAACAGCAACAGGAGAGGCAAAGTGGTTACAGGAGGACATCACAGTTAGCCCTGGGTCTCCAGAGGAGATCCGAGCCCTGCCCCAGGGGTAGTGACAGGATCAAGGCTGAAGAGAGGGCCGCAGGAAGGGGGCGGCAACAAAAATGCCAAGGCACTTGGCAAGAACTGCCAGCCTGGGGCTTCCCTCAGGTAACTAGGGCGTGCCTGCTATGGGTGGGTGGGTGGGGTTGGCGTCTCCCATGACAGACAGGAGTTCAGTCTTTCCAATCATCTAGGGATGGTGACGCTGGCAGAGAAAGGGACCCAAGCGGCAAGGGGGAGGGCCTTGATGGCAGACCTAGCATTGTGGCAGTGGGGCAGTTCAGGACCCCTCCTATGGTCTCGCTGCACTGTGTCCTAGCCTCCTGTGCTTTCACCTGGAGGGCATTCTGAAAACGCACACATTTGTCCACCACGCCTGGACCTGTTTTTGCGGACGACCTGCACAGCGGAAACATCGCTGCTGCTCCCCCCACTGGGCTCATCTGTCTGCCGGGGGCGGGGGGGGGGGCTTGTCCATCCCTATCCTCTCCAGCGGCCACAGTCTTAGGTCCCGAGGACAAGCGCTCAGCCTGGCTTCCTGACGTTATGAGGAGAGACTACACGAGAATATAAAAGGAGGCTCTGGGGTCCTGTGGTCAGTCCCCATGATTTCCTTTCTCTCAGACCGAACATGGGTTCCTGGCAGCTCACAGAAAACGACAGGTCTAATCCATCTGGTAGAAGGGGCCAGCAGGGGGAGCAGGGAAGCCCCCCCACCCCCGGGAGGGGTTCTCAGGGAGAGTTGCCTCGCTCGTGGGGTTTAGCCAGAAGGTTGTTTGTCTCCAAGTACCTGCCTACATTCTGCATGAGTCCACAGGGCATTGGTGCCTCTTGCTTCCTGTCTTAGAAAAGCACTTCCTCCTCTCTCCCTCTCTCTTTCCTCTCTGGAGCCTCAGCACTTCCTTGCGTAAGCTGTGGGAGGCACATTTTCTCAGAAAACACCTGATGGGTATCTTTCTCGTTTCCTGGGATTATGAAGCCAGAATCCGGCAGAAAACAGAAGCCCGGCCCCGGTGGGGAAGGTGCAGCCTGGGGCCTGGGTGAGATACTTGTGGGCACAGGTGGCCGTATCCCCCGGGGTAGCCACCGTCCGGTCTGCCTCGCTTGGGGTTTTCCTCAGCGCTTTATCACCTGCTTGCCTCTCCTCTCGGAGTTGTGGGTCCGTCTCCAGTCCTCACACCACATGGCCAGCCCCAAGGAGACAGTAGGCACACAGGCCTGTCCCCACAGCATCTCTGAATGCATGCTCACACATGCGCACAAGATCCCTGACAGAGCACACTGACAAGCAGGGTCAGCATCAATGGCATGACCTTCCTAGGGTCACCCCACTCCTTTCAACCCCGTGACTCCCGCACACAGCACATGCTGGCAGGGTTGGGGCTCCAAACATGGAGCCCGGTCTGTTTCCCAAGCCCACCCTGCCTCTTTGGGAGACTCAAGGCCTCTCTGTAACCGGGGAGTAGACTCAGACTTGCCCTCCGTTGCAACTGGTGTCAGAGAGGCAAGAACTCTGCCCTACAGGGACCAGCAATTCCTTTGGTTTGCTCTGGGTTCCCAGAACCCTCCTGTCCCTCAGTGTGGCTCTAGGGTAGTATGGGGCCCCACAGGGCAGTCTCAGGAGAGGAGAGCTGCAGGGAGATGGAGCAAGTTCTCAGAGGCAGAGCAGGGTGTACTGACCCCTTCGAGTGAGGCAGAGATTAGCTCCCGAAAAGACAGCTGATGGGGGAGGGGGCTCTGGATTGGGTCTTAATGGAGAGGCTCCAGGTAGGGTGTAAGATGTCTGCCCTGCCCCCCTCCCCCGAGGGAGCATGGGACCCTCATGGGCAGAGGTACTTCCCAGCAAATGCACACGGAAGAACCTTGAGTTAGGAGGTCGAGAGACAGAAAGAGAGAGTCCCTGCCTAACTCCACGGATGTGTGGCGGGGGGGGGGGAGCGAGTGAGGGCAGGCCATGTTAATACCTGTAGATGGGATCCATGAAGAAGGGTGAGGGCTTGGCATAGTGCAGGGACGGCTGCTGGGGCAACTGTGCTGGGCACACCTTAGGCAGCCCCTCGCCAACCCCTGGCTTCCGTTCGCCGTAGACGTGGTTCTTCCTTGGTTCCCGGCTGCCTCCGTTCTGGCTCGCTCGGGCCCTGCTGCCGATGCTCAGGTCCAGCGGCTGCTCCTCTCCAGACGAGGGGACCAGGGGAACCTTGGATGTGAGCAGGGCAGGCTTGGCCTCTTTTGGTTTGGTGGTGAGGTCGAAGGGGCACTCTGCGCTGGGGCCGCCCACCTTGAGGGCATCCCGGGGTGACTTTGGCTCGGCCTTGACCAGCAAGTTATGGGCGAGGGCTCGGTCCGTGAAGGGGTAGAGAGAGTGGGGGAAGTTGGGCAGAAACTGGAAGGGGAACACGGAGTGGTAAGGGAGCGAGCCCAGCTTCTTCTCCTGCATGCTCATGAAGCCAGGGCCGAAGTACTTCTCGGCGATGGAGGCGATGGCCTTGATGGAGTCGCCGGCAGCCCCCGAGGCCGTCAGTAGTTGTTCCTCGGGTGCGGGGAAGAAGGAGTGCTGGGAGTAGAAGGCTGGCACCTCGGCCACACTGTTCATGGCCCCCGGGGGCGCCGATCCATCCCCAAACCCAGGCTTGCTCTCGGCCGGCTTGGCCTTGTCCTTGCCCTTGTCTCGGTCACTGTCCGCGTCACTGTCCAGGTCCGAGCCGGTGCCCGTGGTGGTGTCCAGGTCTGTCCCCGTCGTGGTGTTGATATCCTCGAAGTCACTACCATCCGACATGTCAGGGCTCCTGGTCTTGACCTTCTCTACGTACGTATCTTCCAAGCGGCCGTCGAACTTCTCCTCGGGCCCCGTGGCCGCCGTGGCGCCCTGGCTACTGTTGCTGACCGCAGAGACAAGGGGCAGGGCCGGATTTCCCAGCGGGCTGGGGAGCTTGGCGTCCTGTGCGTGGTTCAGGGGGCTCTTGAGCAGCGGTGTGGGAGGTAGCAGCGGCGGTCGTGGGTACAAGGACGGAGGAAAGATGCCCGGGAAGCCCGGAGTCAGTGTGGGGAAGGCTGGAGGGGCGGCTGAGAAGGGGAGGCTCCCAGGATGAGGTCTGGAGGGGAAGTACTCGTTGAAGCCCAGGCCCCCATGGTTGAGGGTGGGGGAGGGTTTCGTCTTGTCCATCATGGGGCTGGGGGTCAAGGGCAGGCCTGGGGTGAAGATGCCTCCCGGCGTGTAATGGTTCTTGCCCTCGCAGAAGCGCCGGTGCTTGTTGAGGGAGGACGTAGTGCTGAACATCTGCCCGCAGTCCTTGCACTTGATCTGCGTCCGGCAGTCCGCGTGCATCCGCTTGTGCCGGCACAGGTTGGAGAACTGCGTGTACGACTTGTGGCAGACCTCACCTAAAACACCCACGGGAGGCAGAACAAAAAAAGCAGGTGCAGGGTGTGAGATCATCATGAGACCCCAGGTACCGATGCAGGCTGGGGTCCCTCCCCAGGGGTCCTGGCCACGTGGACCGAGGTCTCTCAGCCTTCTGTTGTGGGAAGCGTGGCGACTTTCTGATTACTGGTTCTTACCCTGGGGCATAGGAAATGCCCACATCAAGCTCTTTGGAAGCCACTGGTCCAGACTGGGTGAGGGCAGAGCAAGGGTGCCCAACGCCAGAGTCTCACTGGTGACCAGGAGATGGCTTAGCGCAGAACTGTCCACATGACTTGCCTCAAGGTGGTGACCTTGGCTGGCTGTCTCTACAAGGGAGTAGCAGCCCTTCCTTCCTAGTTTAAAATGCTCCTTGCTTTCTCCCCCCCCATCCCTCCCCCCCGTTCCCGGGCCCTGCCACCAGTGTCTCCGTATCTCAGGGTACCCCAGCAGCTCTCGGGAACCCTAGAGTTAGGGCTCCTGATTGTGCCTGTCCACAGTTTTGGGGATGAGGCTCTGACTGTGACTTTCAGGGAAAGGGCTGGGTCCATGCTTTAAACTTGGGAAGCCTCCTAGCCAGGAGCGTACAGCCCGGGGGTCCAGCAGAGTCTGCTTTAGCTGACAGACATCATCATCTTACAGGACAGGGCAATACCAGGTGGACATCAGCCTACCCAGAGGCTCAGAAAACCCCACAGTGATCTTCCTGAGGCCTGGAAACTGGAGGTCAGTAAAGCATTCACCTGCCTTTCTCCTTTTCTAACAACAACAACAAAAAAGGAGGTATATATATGTATGTTGCACATTCTTCCACACACCCACAGCCCTATAATTATCTCTCTCCTCCCAATGACAGGGCCGTGGACACACACACACACACACACACACACACACATACACGCGCGCGCACGCACGCACGCACGCACATACCCACACACACACCATACATGCACACCACACATGCACACACACATGCACACATGTACACACACACACACCCTTTGACTTTCCCCACAGGGGTTTGCTTTCTGTAGCATGCTATAGCTCTCTATACATTCTGATCTACCACTTTATCTGAGATGTCTTTTCTCTGAGACTATCCCACACTTTAATCACAGTATCTATTTATATTAGCTGCCTTTCCTTCCTTGTAATCATGGTGGGGCATTTTCTGGCTGAAAGGAGACAAATTTTGCTTCATTTAATCAAATCTTCCCTTTTTGGGACACTGTTCCGGGAGAGGCACCACGTTTAGATGGTCTATGAATAACCTTACCTGACTCCTGGTTTCCCACAAGGATCCACAAAGCAAATCTCAAGCTCAGGTCACTTAGACAGACTAGACACGCAGCACCCGAGAGTCCTGCCATGTTCCTGGGCCCCTGAGGGATCCTGGTGGAACCTAAATGTCATCTTCTGCCATCATCATGAGCAAGCCTCCCACTCAGGGGCCTCCTGGGACAGAGGGACCCTTCATTCCTACCTATTACTACAACTGGGAAAGGAGACTCTGTGGTAGGTGGGTTGCAGAGACACCTGGGCAGTCCCAGGAAGGGAGGGCAGGTTCTAGACATGGAGAATGACTGCCAGCCAGCTCAGAACCATCCAAAGGAAGTGGCTGTCTCAGGAATTGGGAGAAAGTCCTGGCTGCAACATTATGTTGGGTATGAGGAACAGAGCTGAAGAATCTACTAGGACAGGAAGGGACCCTGGGGAGGAGTTCCCTTTACTTCTGGGATGTGTGTGTGTAGATGTGCATTAGTACAGGCATGCATGCAGGCACACACACACACATACACACAGGCATACACACATACATACACATGCACATGCACACACACATACATACAAATGCACACATTCAGGCACACACACATACATACACATGCACACAACACACACACATACATGCACCACACACACATACATACACACATACACACACATACATATACATACACATGCACACACACATAGATAGATACACACACAATGCACACACATACATGCAGACACACACACACTGGGGGTAATAGTGCCAACTTAGCCCATACCGTACACTGTCATATGTACACACTTCCTCCTTCAAAGATGCTCTTTTGAAAAGGACCCACGAGAGCGCCTCTGCGACCCAAACGCTTCTCTCTCCCTCTTTCACGCTGCCCCCTCTCATATACACATCTGAACTCCCTGATCCAGAAAGTTGCTATCCCAGTCTCTGTGCTCAGTCAGGTGAGGGTTTGGGGATTTCTAGACATTGGCTGTAGACGCACGTTTCACCTGGCAGCCAGATGTAGAGTTTTCTTGTAAGTAGCTGGTACCTGGGCCATTGGGGACTCTTCTCCAAGTAGCAGATCCTTCCTTGGAAGGGCCACGTTACTAGACTCCCCTTAACTGATTTTCAGTTTTCCTTCAAGCTTCCTACATACCTCCAGTATACTCCATGGTCTGTAGGATGCACACAGTGCTACACCTCACGCTTATCTCTCTCAGGTGTGTCACTCCAACTGACCAGCGTGCTCATTGGGCCTGCCTGTCCACTTCTGGGGACTTCTTTCTAGTTGGCTACCCTTGGTCAAAGCAAGGATGCAGAGACGGGCCAGAGACAAAGGGTCACGGATGCCGGGAGACCCTTAGGAAACACCGTGCTCAGTACATGTCATTTAGGGATGGTCACATTCAGAAGTTTCCTAGGAGACACGATGCTCAGAGCGTGTCAGCTGGGATGGTCACACTCAAGAGAGTCCAGCTGGGGCTCGGCTAGGGTGGGAACACAGGGAGGAAGGGCAACCAGACCCTTCTGCAGAAATCTCCATCATTAAGAGTACCTGTTGGCTATTACCTTCCTCCAGCTACCCACAAGGAAATCTGGAGGCGTGCGTGAAGATGTGAGGTGCAGAGAGGGGAGAGAGTTAAGTCTGCAAACCTCGAGGAGGCCAGCCAGCAAGGTAACGGCACGGTGCCGCGTGCCCTGTATCCAACTAGAACCAGCTGTAAAGGCTTCTGGATAGATGGGTGTCCTCAGCAAGACCTAGGGGAACCAGGCTGGGCAACTCACATATGAATGGCTTCACTGTGCTGTGGATATGCTTGTGCTGCTTGAGGCCACTGGATGTGGCGAAGGTCTTGCCGCAGTCGGGGCAGGCATGGGCCCGGGCACCGACGTGCTGTGAGCGGATGTGACGTTGGAGGTTGCTGGGGTCCGTGAACACCTGGGGAAATAAATGCCATTGCTGTATGGCCCTCTTGAATTCTACCATAAGCCTAGGGGGTATTGAAGGATGGGCCCTGCCCCTCTTTCTCCTGTTGCCCTGCAGTGAGATGGTTGGGACAGGACTTTGCTATAGCAGTGAAGACCGGAGGGCCTTAGCAGGACACCGAACCTCTCCTGGCCTCAGTTTCCCTGCCACTGGAGCCAGAATTCTGTGACTCCCGAGGCTCCAAAAGACACTCAGTGTTTTCTGGAGCCACTAACCTGGATGGTCTTGGTTCTGGAGGCTTCACCCCTGCGACCCCCCAGCATTGTGCATTGGCAGGGGGAGGCACAGGGCTGCCCCCGAGGAAGACTCAGCTCTGGTCTTGGCTCTGTTTACTGTAGGGCTGTTCGATGGCATAATCTCTGAGACTTCCTGCCTTTCTCAGTGATGAGGAAGGACCTAGACAACCCCAGGGCACCTAATCCACGACACCACAATCTCTCCTGAGTTTCACAGAGGGGTAGAGGGAGAGTGTGCAGGTGAGTGCATGCTCTGCGGGGCGAGGGTCTGGTACCTTAACGCAGTTTTCACATTCGAAGCGCTTGCCGCTGTCGTGGGACATCTGGTGGCGGATGAGGTTGGATTTCCAGTTGAAGGCTTTGGGGCACTGGTCGCATTTGTACTCACGCTCCTCCGTATGGACAATCATGTGCTGCTCCAAGCTGCGTACAGGGGATGGGGGATCACTCTAGGGTCCACTCGTCTGGAAGAGGAGGTCCCCTTACCCCATACGGCTTGTTCTCCTGTTATGTGGCCCCCTTGGAGGCCCCATCAGGCGGTCAGGGGTAGGGTGGGACCCTAGGCGACCCTTGTCAGATGATCCCAACGTTAGGGGCTAAGTTTGGGTCTGATGCTGTGCTACGCAAGTATCAATTCCAACACCCGGGAGGTTGAGGCAGGAGAATCTCGAGTCTGAGGCCAGCCTGTACCACACAGCTAGACCGTAACTCAAAAGGGGTGACGGGGTGGGGGAAGCTAAGCTTGGGCCTAAGGGAAAGGGTTCAGGGTACCAACGCAGTCACAAGTCCCAGAGTAATACTGAGGCCACGACATTCAAGTCAGCCTTCTGAGAGGAGTGGTAGGCAGCGGTGGAGTGGGTCTTGGATGAGATGTTGTTACGGTGGTGAGAACAGCTGCTCTAGGGGGCCCCCCGCTCCTCTTGGCTGCACTAGCAACCCCTAATCCCCTCCTCCCCGGGGACTCTCCCTCTCCTGTCCCCGGGATGACCGTTAATCTTCATGAGTAAAGCAGTCATATATCACGGCCCGTTAATTACGGGGCCCAGCCACCCGTTCAGAGCAGAAACGCCTGCTCCTCTAGGTCCCAGAGATTGTATCTTTCCCCTGTTGCTAATTGTGATTTATGTGTTTATGTAAAGAAAACACGGACCCTCCTCAGCCCCGGTCTCTGCGACGCGCTCGGGCGGGATTTGCCCACAAGCTTGTTCATTCTCAGTCATCTGCTCGGGGTGGAGGGTCTGCTACCCCCAGGGAGTCTGTGATGGGATTGGTGGTAAATCCCTAGTAATCACAGAGCCGTTAGCGGCCTGATGGGGTTTTTTGCTCCGACCTCGCAAGGTTGTCCGGGGTAAACTCTTCAACAGCATGGGCTCGGAGGCTGGAAAAGTTTCCCAGACTCCTCCGCTCCTCAGAGCACTGGGGCCAGAGGTACCAGCTTCTCCTACCCAGAGCCCAGGATGCTCTTTTGTCCCAGGGGTTCAGATAGGTCCCCAAAGACCCTTGTGCCTGGGTCCTCACACAGTTCTGACTTCAGGGCAGAGAAGGGCAGGTTGGGCCCGCTCCAGCTACCAGTGTCTGGTTGTCACGCAGCTGGGCTTGAAGCTCTTTGCCCATGCTTCCGGGGTCCCTCCCAGGCAGGTAGCTGCCACCTGAGGGGGCCATTCTCATGAAGGATGACCCTGTATGATCCTTTTGTGGGTCCACTGGGAAGGGCTGTGTACGTCCAGAGAGCAAGGCTGGTCTATATCCCCTCCACAGCGGGCGCTGTGGGCTCACAAATCCAAGTTTGGGGGCCTTATTGCAAAAGTATCACCAGGGCCAGGTGGTGGCAAGACCACGCTGGTGTGTACTGTCTCTTTCAGGGTGTGTGTGTGTGTGTAGGGTAGTGGTGCCAGTGGCCAGCAGACCAGGCCCAGTGGGTCCTCCTGATGGGGCCAGGCCCTTTGTGGTAAGAATCCTATCCGGTGAGATATGGTGAGAAAACACCACCTGCAGCTTGCAGACCTGCACACCCACTCTGTTCCCAGCGCAGAGAGGTAGCGTGCATGAACCCTTGGTCTCCTAGCCCTAGAGACTAAGGCTTGACAGGGCGGTGGGCTGGGGACCATGGTGGGGGGGGGCTGCCAAGCGGAGGGCGTGGTAGGCGGGGCAGGGCGGCACCTGTACTTGTTGGGGAACATCCTCTCGCAGTCCTTGCACTCATGAGCTTGCCCATCGCTGCCCCCGCTGAGCCCCTCGGGCTTGAGCTCTTCCCCGAGGCCCTCGTACAGCGGGGCCCCCGCAGAGCTGCACGCATACTTCTTGTGGCGCCTCAGGTCCAGCTTGCACTGGAAGAGCTCATCACACTCGTCACAGCGGAATGTGGGATCCTCTGCAAGACAGAGGGCAAGGAGGTGAGCAGGGCAGGCTGACGCTCACCCAGCCTGGATCCCCAGGGGGGACCTTGCAGACCCAACCCATCCCACTGCCCCAGGGCTTCCATCCACCCTGGCTGCTCCTACCCAACTTCCTTCCAGCCCTTGTCCTGGCCGCCCAGGGGGCACAGAGGTCACAGGACAGATCAGGCCAAGCTGGAGGACCTCATCTCCGCGTCGTGGAAAACACTGAGCAAAGTCGGGCTCCTCCCTGCATGCCTAGCGGCCACTGCAGATTCAAGGGAACCCTGCCTCTGAGTGGAGAAGGAAGCCAGGCCAAGTGCTTTGTTTATGAATTAGGGGAAAAAAGAAGGCAGAACTCCGTCGCATATAATAAATTATTGTCGTCAAGGTCAAACAAATTAAAGGGGGGCAGCTATTATTAAGTTTATGAGGCAGCATCCCGAGCACAGTGCCAAACCAAACAATTAGCCCGGAGCTGTAACCGGGGCGGGTCTCTGCGCCCTGCCTGCCCCGCCTCCCTGCGGCTGCAGCCGGCCCTTCAGCTCTCACCCAGGCCTGGAGAGAGAACACCTGCTCTCGGATCGTGCACGAAGAGGGCTTATGCGCACACATGAGCACGAGCACAAGCATGTGTGTTCTCTGTGTGCTCTGAAGTTACATGTGGGTGTGTACCCAATGCAACTGTGTTTGTGTGAGCGTCCCACCCCATCTGCTCCCACGTGTGCAAAGTCATGCATGTGTGGGCATCTGCACCCAGACCTTAGTGAATGGGCAAACACGCATGCATGTACCTACTTGTAAGTGTAGGTACATGTTTGTGTACCTAACTACACGTGCGATGTGTGAGCATACTTTCACATTTGAATACACTCGGACTTTATATGTACGTCTGCATAATTGGGGCATGTAGGTATTTATGACCATCTTCATGTGACTTTGTATATATTTTCTGCGGGTTATGTGTGCATGGGTGTATGCATTCTATACATCTGTGGACATGTATGGTTATGGGTAAGGGGCTTGTACATGTGTCGTTGTGCATGCTGTTGTAAATGTGTACACACTTGTATGTAAATGGTCACATCTTAGGGGCTTGCAGTTGTATGCCAATGTGTGTGTGTCCGTGTTTATGAATGCTTGTATTTTGTGTGGGGGGTTATGCTTGCATCTGTGTGCATGTGCGAATGTGTTGGAGGGGTGTGTGTGCATGGTCACGAGAGCTGGCCTGGAACCCAGCAGTAAGCGCTTAGATCAGGGTAGGGGCAGTGCTGCTTCTTGGTCCCGACTCCCACCAGAGAGAGCACCATAACCATGGACTGTTTCAGGGTCTACAGGAGATGGTTAGCTTCTCCTGAACAGCATGGAGTTCTAAGGACGGACCCTCTCCCGCTGCCCAGAACCTCTCCCGACTGGAAGTGTAGAGGTGACATTTTACTATCTGTCCTGCGCTGTACCTGGGTAACTCAGAATCCAAGGTGGGACTTTGCAGGGCTGGGTGTCAGATGCATCCCCGAGCCTGTGCAATGATGCCCACCATGCCTAGCTGGATCTGGGAAAGGGGAGATGCCTGGGTGCCAGGGAATGGACATGTGTATGTTTGGGGCTAACTGGGAAGGTACTGCTCCTGTTTTCCAGGGTCCAGACATCCTGGCCCACTGGCTTACCTCAGCTGCACAGCAAGCCTCTTTGGGGAGGAAAATGAGACCATGGGAACAAGGTGCTTTGGGTCCTTTGGGCCAGTGGAATTCTTTCCTATATGCAGCCCTGCTGTGCTGGGGAAAGAAGGCTTGTACTCTTGCCTTGGCTTGGAGGTCTCAACTGGTAACATCTCCTGGAAGGCCCTGAATTCCTCCTTGGGTGCCACCGTGGGACCTCATGACTCACAGGATAGGGTCGGGGAGGAGGCAGGCACAGGGGATTCACACACGGAGCACCCACTTTCCGTGTCTATAGAAGAAATCAACTACAATTCAAAGAGGTTTGCTGGGAGCCCTTTGGGGCAGGCATTATGCTGAGATGCTCCACCCAAGGGATGCCCTGCTGTATCCCTGGCTTTATCACGGTCAGCTGTGGCTAGCCATTCTCACTATCTGGGCACGAGATGCAGGGTAGCAGGCCCCCTGATTTCCCAGAGAGGATTACGAAGCCATCAGCCAGACCCTATGAGCGTTTGAAGGTAATCATGTCACTCTCCACGCCAACCCTGGTTTTCAGAGTCAAAACCCCACCAGGAAGGATCCTGTGTCTGGGCACACTAGGCACACGCTGTCACAGAGGCCCCTGTGGCTCCTGGAGGATGGAAGGGGATGGACATGCAGATCATGGAGAGTCAGGAATGAGAAATGCTCATTTTTATCACTCTTTCTAGACTCACGAGGAAAAGTCACAGTAGTTCAGGAGGAAAATGACATCACTGGCCATACCACTCACTGGCTGGCAAAAAACTTCTAGTTCTGATTTGGGGTTAAGATTATTTTATTTTTAAATTAAAAATTTTTAAAAAGTTGTCTTTAGGCAGGGACTCACTATGTAGCCCTGGATGGCTTGGAATTCTCTATGTAGGCCACACTAGCCTTGAACTCATGGAAATCCACCTGCCTCAGCCCCCCTGAGTGTTGGGATTAAAGTCATATGTCACCACATCAGGTCTTGGGCTTTAGACCTTAAGTGTAGGGTTTTTTTTTATAAGAAAATTCAGCTTGATTCTCACTTGATGCCTTAGAAGTCACCTTGGAGGGGAGGCAAATGACCTTGGTGACAGCGCTACCCTTCTCCTCTGCCCGTGTCTCTGTAGAAGGACAGATGTGGGGACAAGACATGCCTCTGCCCAGGTAAGTGGAAAAGCCACTCAGAATCTTCCAGGCAGGGTGGGCTGGCCTTGGGCACACACCTGGGGCACACTGCAAGGCATTTTCATTTTCCCAGCACACAAAATTCCATTTAAGGAACTGTTGAAAAGGCAGGTTATACCGATATTATGTCTATTACAGCCCATCACAGCCCGGGGCCTCTCCTGTGCACACCACACAATGGGCCACATCGTGGAGAGGGGAAGTGGGCTGCCAGGAGGCTTTCTGAATGAGGAGAGTGTCTGAATGCAAACGATTTCTTTTTTCCCCCAGAGAGCAAGTGCTTCTCAGGAAAGAGAAGGAGAGAGAAGTCTTCCTCCTCCACCCAATAATCAAAGCATCATGAGGTCACCTGGCCTAAGGAGCGGCCTGTGCCGTCCATCCTGCGAGGATGCTGAGTTGGCCTTGTGTGCAGGGCTCCATGCAACTCTGCCGCTGGTGTGTCTGTACGGTGGGACCATGCTCTTCCCTACCCAGGAGCAGGAAAACCAGGGGTTCCATGTCCTCCTCATCACAATGGCCCCCCAAAGACCTCCAGACCCTTCCCCCCACGAAAGCACAAGAAAAAGCAACTGGGAAAGAAACTCTACCTAAATGTGGTGGGGGTCTTGGGTTGGGGTAGATCAACCTTCCACCAAATTACACTGTACCAGCACCTGCCTGTCAACCCTGCACCTTGCTTGTCTAGCTCAAGTTCCATCAGCAACTTTCTCGGCTGAACAGGAATGTAACAGAAAAATAAATCCCTGCCTAATGGCTCTGAGACTGAGGGGTTCACAATTACACGGCACCCGCATCCTAATCTACAACTCCAGCTCAAAAGCGCTCAAGAGGCCTACTCCAAATTCCTGTGGCGATAAGGGGCTGGCTGCATTTAGCCAGGGCTGGGATAAAAGATTTTTTTTATGATAATTATCTTAGTGAGGGACGCGTTTGCATTTTCTTTCTGTGCAATTCTGAGTTTAACTCGGGCGTGTGTTGGGGGTAGCTGTTGGGGTGGCAAAAGAGTGATCTTGACAGCAGAGGTTAGGAAAGTCAAATATTTGATGTCAGACTATTATGTGTGGGAAGTAATTAGCTCACAAATGTTTGATCAGTTATTAGGAAAATGTAGAGGGGGTTATTTAATATCAGGGTGGGAGGTGTGTGGTGTGTTTAGGGGGGAACAAGAATCAAGGCTTTTAAAGAACCCTTTGGAAGAAAGAAATTTCAGTATATGAGTGGAATTGCATAGAGGAGGATTCTCGGAGCTCGGGTGATTTATCTTCTGTGGCTCTCAGGTGCTGGCTAAGACTCACAGGTCCTTTCAACAATCACTTTAAGGAAAATGAAGCCTCCCTCTTGCTGCACAAGTCTTGGGGATTCATTTTTGTTTTCTCAGTGGCCTAACTGAAAACCAAAGTTTAGAGGAGACAGAGGACCCTGGCTGGTCAAATGGCCCTTCTACTCCAATTTCTTGTCTGACAAGCTAAGAGTTATGTATTACTGCGGGAAAAAAAATAAGGCACTCTGGTTACTGGCAGGCTTGCAGCGTCCACAGGTAAACTGAGGCAGAGTTCCACAGGAATGGTCACAGAGACTTCTGCTAAATCCAGTGGGCATCCAGCTCCCTGGTCTTTGCTGCAAGAATCCTTGTGTCTAGAAACATCTAGGGGACACTGCTGTTTTTTTCCCCACTGGTAGCTTGGCATTAAAAAGGAAGACAGATTTGAAGGCTGGGAAGGTAACTCAGTAATGCAATTGCTATGTAGCATAGCACAGGTCCATAGACATGAGGGCTGGGAAGTTAACCCAGTAACATGCTTGCTGCATAGCACAGGTCCTGAGTTAAATCTCTGCAACACGCTGGCATGGTGACGGACACTAATCCCAGAGCAGGTAGGCAGAGACAGGAGAGTCCCTGGAGCTTGCTGGCCATCCAGCACTTGCCTAATTACTGTAAGCTTCAGGCTAGCAAGAGACCTTGTCTTGAAAACAACGTAGACAGCACCAGACGAAAGACTGTCAAGGTTTACCTCTAACCTCTATGTGCAAACCCACACATCTGCACTTTCCCTGCACACACAGGAACACAAAAGCGCCTCCCATACCCCACAAGAAATTAGACACGGACCCTCCAGTCCCTGCAATGACAGTAGAGGGCCAAGAGATTCACTCTTCACTGCCAACGTACCCTTCTCGAAAGCAGCTGTGCCAGGGCCCCGAATATGCAGACACAGACTCAAGAGAGTATAAACCGTGTGTTGGAACACCCAGAGTGCGTGAAACTGGCTTCCTCTCTAGCATCCTCTCAGAGGTGATGGAATGAATGGCTCACGAAAGAGGGCTCTGGGCTCTGCCCAGCCTCCCAAGTACCACACTAGGTTGGGGTCTTTTAGTACAAAAACACCTGGAAATAACGATACATCTGAAGCATCATCTGGGCTCAGCGGATAAAAGGCTTGCTGCACAAGTAAGAGGAACAGAGTTCAGATCCCCAGCAACCACGTAAAAGCCAGGTAGATGCGGCAGCCTGCCTGTAATCCCAGTGCCAGGAAGTTGAGACCGCTGTCCGTCGTTCCCCAACCCCCCCCCAGAGCAACCATATGTCTCTACGTGTATGAGTACACATGTGAATACAAACCTGTACACATGTATATTCTGATGCATGTGCACTTATGTGTGTGTGCATATATGTATATAAACACACATGCATATGCACACAGAAAGTTTTCTGGGCCATTAGCAACATTGTATAGATGTAATTCAGCATAATAACAATTTGGCTACATTGCCTCACGCCCCTCTTACATTTAGGATGTGTGTTGAATCTCCAATGAAAGGGAGGGGGTCTCTAGCCTCAAGGGGAAGGGGCTGGTAGCCTGTTGTCCTGGTTGGCTTTATAGTTTATTTTATATTTTATCTTATTTTTATAGGACAGAGTTATCTGGGAAGAGGGAATCTCAGTTGAGGTAATGATTCCCCAAGACTGGTCCTTAGGCAAGCCTGTGGAGCTTGTTTTAAAATAATGATTAACGTGCGAGGACCCAGCCCACCATGGGTGGTTTTAGCCCTGAGCAGTTGGTCTGGGTTGTACAAGAAAGCAGGCTAAGCAAGTCGTGGGGAGCAAGCCAGTGTAAGCAGCGCTCCTCCACGGCCTGTGCTCCCAGGTTCCCTGCTTTGAGTTTCCTGCCTCGGCTCCCATCAATGGACTGCGACTTAGGGGGGGCGGTCTACGAGCCAAATCGGACCGTCTTCCCCATGTTGCTTTTCCTTCACGGTCTTTATCACAGCGACAGATGCCTGAGTCACACACCCCGGGGTCTGCAGAAGCTCAGCCAGGGGCATCAGCTTGCCAATACCTGCAGGTGTGCAGGGGCAGAACACCATTCATGATCTCCCAGGTTGGGCGGGGCGGGGGGGTGTGGCGGGGGTGGGGCGCGGGCGGGGTGCGGGCGGTTTCAGGGCCACAGTTCAGCAGGCTCTTACCATCCAGGCTGGGCGCCATGACACCCAGGGAGTAGGTACCCTCTTTCACATGCACCAGAAGCTCTTCTCCAGGCTCAACGTCCTTAATGACTTTGTAGTAAATCTAGGAGACAGAGAGAGATCGAAGGCAGTGAGTGAACGCTGAAAGTGGTCTGTCGTCACCACAGGAGGCACCAGGCACCCACGGAGCCTCTACCCCGCCACCTGAGTGCCACACGAGGCACCACGACTTGACCTAATTCTTAACTTCTCAAAAAAGATGCTTGCGTGTACAGGTGTTTTCTATCGTGTGTATAAGCCAGAAGAGGGGATTGGATCCCCGCAGAACTGGAGCTACAAGCCGCCAGCCACGTGGGTGCTGGGAAGCTGCAAGTTCAGTGGTTCTCAACCTGTGGGTGGTGACCCTTGGGCTGAAGGACCCTTTCACGGGAGTCGGATATCAGATATTTACACTACGATTCCTAACCGGTGGCAAAATGACAGCTAGGAAGCAGCAACAGAAACAATGTTATGGCTCCGGGGGGGGGGGGGGTCACCACAACACGAGGAGCTGTATTTAGAGGGTCGCGGCATCTCCCCAGCCCCCAAGCTGTTTATTCTATTTTTTAAATGCAAACACATTTTATCACATTTATTTATTATCTTCCGTATGTTGGGGGGGCCGACATGTGGCGATCACATGATAACCTATGGGAGTCAGTTCATCGCCCCACCACGCGGGTCCTGAGGATTTAACTCGGGGACCTCGGGCTTGATAGCAAGGGCCCCACTGAGCCATCCCACTGGCCAGATGCGACGGCGGAGAAGGCCTTCTCCTGAACTTCGGAACCATGTCAGCATATGAAGAAAAGAAAGGAACCGAACCCCTTCTAATCTGTCTCATTCTGCTCTGACAGAAAGGATAGGTGGGAACCCACAGAGTTGGCTCAGTGGTTAAGGGCACTTGTTCCTAATGAAGGACCTGGGTTTGGTTCCCAGCACACACACACACGCACACACACACACACACACACACACACACACACACACACACACACGAAGGCTTACCGCTTCCTCGGGTGCTAGGCATGCATCTAGCGTGCAGACATACACGCAGGCAAAGTCCTCATGCAAAAAAAAATTAATAAATAAATCCAGAAGAATAAGAAAGGATAGGAGATGCTCAGTGTCATGCCCCCCGCCCGACCAGGATTGTCCTAGGAAATGTCCCAGATTATACAGTGGCTTCCCACTGGGAATGCGCCAGTCCATTCTCAGACCCCCCTTGCCAATGTGAGCCTGAGTCAGTTGGCTACAGGGGGTCCCCGGGGAGGTCAGAGCGTTGGTTGCTTGTGAAGATGCTTTCCGGCTGGGCACAGGCCCTGTGGGCGAGGGTGCTGCCAGGCTGTGACTTTTACGCCCGTGTGGCAGCTGTGAGTCAGGACAGCCCAGGGTGGAATGGAGTGAATGCCTGCCAGGGGCTGCATCCAGCAGGGGACCAGGGGTTCGGAGTCTGGGAGTGGGGTGGGGGTGGGGGTGGGGGGTGGAGTTATGGACCTGGAGGGAGTGAGCCCTGGCGCTGGGACAGCTACATTTGCTGTGTCCAGCAGTATGACCTAAACCCTGTCGGTTGTAGCTTGCTACCGCATCTCCCCCAAAGCTGAAGTCAGGCCTGGTTTGCTGGCTGAGATGAAGAAGACTGGCTGTTCTGTTGGGGAGACTAAGCTGCCACAGTACTGCAGGCTTGGGTGATTTTGTGTGTGTGTGTGTGTGTGTGTGTGTGTGTGTGTGTGTGTGTGTGTTTATGTGTCTTCCCTAACTTTGCCCAGACTCCAAAGCCCAACTCTTCAGGTGGGGCCTGGGCCTCCCAAGTGCACAGTGGCTCAGAAAACTCTCTCTTCTATCTGGAAGTGTCAGCATGTGGCTGTGTCTCTCTCCCCCCCCAGGGTAACTCACTGGCTACCACCGCGGGCGGGTACTTTGGACTCTGTTCTGATGTTGGGACTGTCTGGAGGTGGAAGAAATGCCCCAGAGATACCTACGGCTCTGGGGAGGCCTGACACAGGCCCATCCAGCAGCCCGAGGCTGGCCTTCTACATTGCTGGAGGGGTAGGTAGGGCAGGAGGAAGAGCACAAGACAGGGCATTGTAAGAGAAGACAAACTTGCCTAAGCACAGGGACAGGGCGGGTGGGTGACCCTCCTGGCCATAAACAGCAAACAACACTTCAGTTCCCACTCACTGGCCCTGGTGGAAGTCCGCCCTATTAGGTACCTAAGGGAGCCCGGGGAAAGCCGCTTGCCTCCCCGGGGACACAGCCCTAATTAGGGCTAAAGGCAACTAGCTCCAGAGTGACACCTGTGAATCACGTAAGGGCACAGAGGAGCTGCACGCAGAGTGGATGCCCATTGGCTGTGACCCCCAGAACACCAGACAGCGGAAGTGTGCAGCCAGGAGCCTGCAGGTACACAAAGCAATCTTATCGGTGAGGCATTCCTTTAAAGAGCCGTCCACAGTAGTAACACACTTGGGGGGGGGGTTATTCTTGGGAAGGTCGACAGTACAGAGAGGTCTTAAAATGGGGGGCTGGAAATGGGATCACACAGGCTTCATGAACAAAACCAATGGTGTCTACGATCCCAGTTTTACATCACCAACACTGCAACCGAGTAACTTGAAGGTCAGACTCACGCCGCCACCACGCTTCGGAAGAGGATCCACCCACGGCTGCCCCAGAGAGAGGAGCTGAGGCCACACAGGTACAACCCCCCCCGCCCCCGGATCCGGAGGGGAGGGTGTGTGTCAGCGGTTGATAAGCTTAACTCGCACTTCTGTCTGGCAGGAGAGCGTATGCTTTGCGCCCAGGGCTCAGAACCAGCGAGTGCGGCAGGGGACTTGGTGCTGGGTATGAGGGCTGAAGGAGAGGGTAACGAGAGCTTGGCCCCTCGAGGTCCCTGGGTTAGAGCGTGCCACCAGCCACCTGTAATCACCCAGACTGCACGCGGCCATGGCTGCCATGCCAACAGTGTGCCCTCCTACCAGCTGGCCACCTATCCCGAGACGTGGGAGGTAGAGGGGAGAGAGCACCCTTCCTTCCACACACACCCTTCCCAGGCTGCCGGCCTTCCTGGCCTACATCCCACATCACTCCTCTGGTTAAGCCGCCTGGCTTTCCAAGGCTCCACGCCACACACGTCCTACCCCTTTCTCTCTGGGCTGGAGGGACCTGGAGTCGTGCCACCCAATTCTGGTTCTGAGGTCTACAAAGGCAGTCAGTTCCGCCTCCTGATTACTTTCGAAGGTAGCCAGCCCTCCTGGGACCTGCTCCTGCCCACACCTAAGCCCCTGTTTCTGGGACCAGTGGGCCTCCTGACTCTTACGTCATCTCTTGGGGCTGCCCAGCCTCCCTGCCCTAATCTCCTCTGAGGGCTAAGGGGGATTCCTTAGACTCCATACCCTCCCGCACCTTTGCTCCTGGGCTCACCGGGCCTCCAGGGACCTCTACTCCGGTTCTGTAGATGGAGCCTTCTGGGACCCTCCCACCAGCATGAACACTGCAACCGGAGCCACAAGTAGGGACACAGGTGTACCTTCCTCATCCTCGCAGAAGGGCCACTAGGGCCCCTGTCAGGGACACGTGGGACACACAAAGTAGGCTGGGCAACCGTGGCTAGTAGGACTTTGAGCCCCGGACGTAATTAATCAATCCCTATTAGTGCTAATTGCAGAGGCCAGGGTGGGGCTAAGGTGTCCCAGCTTGCCTCCACCTGGAGGGCCAAGAAAATGGGCAGGAATCTTCACAGACTTTCCCGAAGCCTCGGCCCTGCGTCAGGCAACCACATGGGGGCACATACGGAAGCCAACCCGTGCTTTTATGACCTGTTGCAAGTTGGCACGAAGCCCTTATCACCCAGGCATTCTGAGAAAGCCAGTTCCTGGTCTTGCGGGGCTGGGTGGCTTCCCTCAACAAAGGCCAACTTCAGTCGGACCCGGCGCTGTGTTCAGTGGGGCGCCAGGCGGAGGGGCGGGGCGTCCCATGCTTCAGCACTGCTGTCCACTGGATGCACCAGACCCCTTCTAAGCCTGGCCCATAAAAGACCATAACCGTAGTCCATGGAGATTCTCGCAACTGGCTCATTACATCCATTTGGAGTGCTCCGGCCCCTGACCAGTAGCCTCACGAGGTAGGCTGCCAGCCAGCAGGAGAATAAGAAACCCAGGAGTATGACACCCTTCAGCCCCCAGCAGCATCTTTAGAAGAAGACTGCCTTCTTTCTAAACCACAGTGCCATGGGTTTTAGGTACAAATGAGTCCTGGGTTCCTGTCACTGCAGGTCTGGTGGCTACCCCTTGTCTGAGACCCTGAGGGCGGCAGCCTTCTCTCCCCAACAGCTGAGGTGACAAGCCAAATAAACGGCTTCTGTCGGTGGCTCTCCGGAACGAGGACACAAGCAGATGGAGCCCTCGAAGCTGAGCCTCCGTCTCTTCCTCTCAGCCTCCCTCATCCAGCCGTGGCTGCTCAGAGTTCGGGTCAACACGCAATCGCCTGTAACTATACTTTGCTCAGCCCAAACTGTTTCCCTTTTCCTTTGCACACGTTCCGGGCACTAAGAGGTGGGCTCCGTGTAGCAGAGAGAACCTGGAGCCTTTTCAACGAAAGGCAGACACCTGCTTGGGGACCAGGTTCAAGCCTAGGACCCTATCACACCCAGAGGGCCGTTTACAACGGCTGCCAGCTCTCAACACCCCCCCCCAAGGGCCCTTGGCTTGGAACCCGAGATACTGTTTAGTGACGAAAAGCAAGGCCCAACAGGTCCCAGGGCTGCTTAGCCCGAGCATGCTAGCACTGGAACCCTCTTCGTGGGAAGGGAGTGAGGAGAGCAGGGGCTTAAAGCCAGTGGACACGCCAGTGGTTCCTTCACTGTGTCTACATCTGTGTGGCCCTTGCCCTACACGCCCAGCAGGAACAACTTCATCTGTGCCTAAGCCTTTACAATTGTTTTTATTTTTACTGTAAGTTCTGTTACTTGAAGATTAAAAAAATTCCTATGCCTCTATCTCTTTCTTAGCTGCGCACTTTGGGTAAGGATTATACAAATATAAAGTATTAGCCCATAGTTAAATCTTCGACACCCTCTCGTGGCTTCCTAACAAGGCATTGCATTTAGCTAATGGAAGATAAATTCTGACAAGCGTTTTTGTTTATTTGTTTTGTTTTAATTGGGCTATCACCACAGTTGAAAGCTGATTTAAACTTAACTGTTCTCAAAAAACAAAAAAACAAAACAAAGCAAAACAAAACAAAAAAGAGGGTCCCCTTGATCCATAGAGAGTCCCTGACAGGTGACAGTTTTTCTGAATTAAAACAAATCTGACATCTTTTTTAAAGGTTAAGAAAAATCCAAAATTAAATCGTGTGTGTGTGTGTGTGTGCGCGCACGCGCACGCGCACGCGCATGTGTGGATTGAGGACAACTCGCAGAAGTTTGTTATTTCTGGGTTCCAGGTACTGAACTCAGATCATCAATTTAGGTGGCCAGTGCCTTTACCCCCTGATACATCCCACCAGGCTGCACTGGATTTTGAAAGTGTTTTGTCCATTGGTTAGCAAGGCTCAACACATTCTCTAATCACACCTTGCTTGTTTTCAAACAGAAAGCCGTGTTTAGCTGTTTGGAGCTACCGCTCCAAAGGACCACAACAAAAACACGATTTCTGAAAGTGACGTAGGAAGGAAGCAAGAGGAGTCAGGAGAGGTCAGGGGCTCAGAGCCTGATGACCCTGTTTTAAAAAAAAAATCATCCCTGGCAGCTCACACACCTTGGAGGTAAAAAGGTTCTCGGTGGAGAGCCATCTGTCACCAGGCTTGACTGGGCGGAGCGGCACCAGGATTTTGTGAAGGAGCAGGGTGGGTCCCATGGACACTTGGATGCACAGCTCCCGACCAGGTCCTGTTTAGACACCCTGTTCAATACATTCAGGAGGGGCTTCTCTCCTGCCGTAGGCAGACCTGCTCTTTAGCTCCATTGGCTGCAGCTGCCTCAGCCTTCCAGGCACAGGCTAGGCATGGCACCCTGGCTGCGCTGCCCTGCCCTGGAATACTGGGGCACTCTACAGACAGCCCAGGCTTGGGTTGCTCTTACAGATGTGGGGTGCTCTACAGACAGCCCAGGCTTGGGTTGCTCTTACAGATGAAAGCAGCTGTATGAAGCCGGAGCAGCAGGCCTCTCCCAGGGCTGCTGGAAAGCATGACCTCAGCCTATCCTCCACCCTCAGCCTGTTGTCCAGTAAACCCTCCTCTATGCACAATCCCACCCTACCAAGGCTATGCGTGAAAAAGAGATGCTGGGACCCTCCTCTCACTCTTCTGTCTCTTTTGGATACTGGAGCCGAGGCCCTGGATCTTGCACCATGAATTAGCAAGGTCTATGTTTCCCTAACTTGATGTATTTCCTTCACTGAGTATCCTGCATAGTATAGCAGCACCATTTCTGCAAGGCAGGTGTTTGGTCATGGGCTCCTTCCCTTCAGGGCCTGTGCTGTCTCAGGAGTGCTATGTACATGTGCTGTGTACATGTGATTACACACATGGCTGTATGTTTAGGTATGCACATGTACTGTGTATGTGCCCGTGGGTGTGTGGTGTTCCTAGCTGCCTACATGTTTTTGTAGACACTTTTGGGAGGGAGAAGAGAATCTGAGAAACACTATGGACATTTTTCGGTGTTTCTTTCTCAAACAGAAGCCTGTCCTCAGGAACCTTTTTATTAGTAATGTCTCCAGGAAGTTTTATCCAGCCATGGAGAGGGTCAAAGTGCTACTCTGTAGGGACAATTGTCTTCATGGGATGGCCAGGAAGTGGAGTGATTATATGGAGTCTGTGGATGTCTGGGAAAAAGAGAAGGAGAGAGGGAGGGAAAGGGAGAAAAAGGAACAGGTAGGTGTGTATGTGTGTGCATGCATGTGTGTGTGTGTTTGCATGCGTGTGCGCATGTGTGTGTTTGTGTGCGCGTGCACATATCTATATATCTCTGTTTTGGAGAGAATAACAACTAGCCTGAAATCTAATTTTCATTTCAAGAAGTCATTTCATTTAACTGGTGAATATTTGCTGTGAGTCTGTGGGTTCCAGTGGGGAGGGGGGAGGAGGCTCTATTCTCCCTAGAGTGAAGGGGTCTCACTGTGAGGTTTAGGGGTGGGAACAGCCCCAGGTGTGTGTGGGGGGGTGATTTTGGCTGTGGACCCTCCAGAGGTGGCATTTGCCTAAATCTCCAGTCCCTCCTGAACACGGGGCTGTTTATCATCCTACACGGGACTAAGGCAGGGAGAATTCACTCTGCAAGGCCACGGAGAAGAGAGGCAGCCAGCGGTAAGGAGGTACAGGTAAGTCTGACCTGATACTAGTCAGGCAATGTAGGCAAGTGTGTGACACAGGGCACAGGGCACAGGACACAGGACACCACAGGACACAGGACACAGGACACAGGACACAGCACACAGGACACAGGACACCACAGGACACAGGGCACAGGACACAGCACACAGGACACAGGACACCACAGGACACAGGACACTGGACACAGGACACAGCACACAGGACACAGGACACAGGACACAGGACACTGGACACAGGACACAGGGCACAGGGCACAGGAACAGGACACAGGACACAGCACACAGGACACAGCACACAGGACACAGGACACAGGGCACAGAGCATAGGGGATAGGACACAGGACACAGGACACAGGACACAGGACACAGGACACAGGACACAGCACACAGGGCACAGAGCATAGGGGATAGGACACAGGACACAGGACACAGGACACAGGACACAGGACACAGGACACAGGACACAGGACACAGGACACAGGGCACAGGACACCACAGGACACAGGACACAGGACACCACAGGACACAGGACACAGGACACCACAGGACACAGGACACAGGACACCACAGGACACAGGACACAGGGCACAGGACACAGCACACAGGACACAGGACACCACAGGACACAGGGCACAGGACACAGGACACAGGACACAGGACACAGGACACAGGGCACAGGACACAGGACACAGGACACAGGACACAGGGCACAGGGCACAGGGCACAGGGCACAGCACACAGGACACAGGGCACAGGGCACAGGACACAGGACACAGGACACAGGACACCACAGGACACAGGACACAGGACACAGGCACACAGGGACACAGGACACAGGACACAGGACACAGGACACAGGACACAGGACACAGGACACAGGACACAGGACACAGGACACAGGACACAGGACACAGGACACAGGGCACAGGACACAGGACACAGGACACAGGACACAGGACACCACAGGACACAGGACACAGGACACAGGACACAGGACACAGGACACAGGACACAGGACACAGGACACAGGACACAGGACACAGGACACAGGACACAGGACACAGGACACAGGACACAGGACACAGGACACAGGACACAGGACACAGGACACAGGACACAGGACACAGGGCACAGGACACAGGACACAGGACACAGGACACAGGACACAGGACACAGGACACAGGACACAGGACACAGGACACAGGGCACAGGACACAGGACACAGGACACAGGACACAGGACACAGGACACAGGACACAGGACACAGGACACAGGGCACAGGACACAGGACACAGGGCACAGGGCACAGGGCACAGCACACAGGGCACAGCACACAGCACACAGGACACAGGACACAGGGCACAGGACACAGGGCACAGGGCACAGGACACAGGACACAGGACACAGGACACAGGGCACAGGGCACAGGACACAGGACACAGGGCACAGGGCACAGGGCACAGGAACAGGACACAGCACACAGGACACAGGACACAGGGCACAGGGCACAGGACACAGGACACAGGGCACAGGGCACAGGAACAGGACACAGGACACAGGACACAGGACACAGGACACAGGACACAGGGCACAGGACACAGGGCACAGAGCACAGGACACAGGGCACAGGACACAGGACACACAGCACAAGGAACAGATCACAGGGAACAGGGCACAGCACACAGCACACAGGACACAGCACACAGCACACAGGACACAGGACACACAGCACAAGGAACAGATCACAGGGAACAGGGCACAGCACACAGCACACAGGACACAGGACACACAGCACAAGGAACAGATCACAGGGAACAGGGCACGCAGCACAGGGCTAGGAAAGGCTGGGGATGCAGTGGCTTTGAATCAAAAGGATGGATGCAGGGAGTTCAAGGATGTCAATCATTCTAACCTGGAGCGTTCTTGCCCATGGTCTGAAATGAAAAGAGAACTCCCTGCAAGGCAATCACTTCTCTTTAAATCCTACATGATAGTTTAAGTAAACTTCACTGGAATGGTTTTTTTTTTTAAAAAAAAAGCGTTTTGAAGGCCAGTTTTCTAAAAAGCTTGCCCCACAAAGACTCACGCCTCGCTGTTCCATTCCAGCTAAGTTCTAGCATCTGTTTCCCAGGTAACGAAATCCGTATTCTCACTGCTCTACCAGCATCTCATGGAACGAAGACCATCCCTGCAATCTAGATGCCTGCCTCATGCTTCCCGGGGCTCAGTGCTCTGCAGACCGGAGCTTGGGAGGGGGCTGGGCCAGGCTGTGCACCTTAAATCCAGTTTTCCACCACTCTCTCTTCTTCCTAGCAGCAGGAGGGTTTACTTCTACGCTCCCCTCTAACATCACGGTTATTATTTCCGTGCTCCAAGTTCCTCAGTCAGAAAGTTGTCTTTTTTTCCCCCATCTCTCAAAATTTTTGTTTCTCGTCGAAAGGTCACGGGAGTCTTGGAAGCAGAGTCCCTCCCTGGTCCTGACTCTGTCTGGAACCAGCAAGTGTCCGGTGAATCCATTGGTAGTTTCCAAATCGTGCCCAAGAGCTGAGGAGACAGCTCTGGAGGGACGCCGTGAGGCAGTGTGCAGGGCTGGGGGGCCTCCCTGCAGCTTCCTTGCTGCCTTTTTAAATGCAAAATATTTCTCTGAGAGTCAAGATCCTTGAACCACTTTAGACAGCTTGCACAGGCGACACAAGAATGGGGCCTTTGTTATGTGGTCTTCACAGTTTTTAAAGTAAACGGATCCCTCTTCCCCCCCAACAAAATATCATGTGCAGCCCTAAACTGCTCTGCTGGGATGGCTGGGAGCTGCTCCCCAGAGGGACCCATGCTCTGAGAACACAGAGCTTTGCTGGGGGTACCTGAAGTCTGCAGGGTCAAACTTGAAGTTGCAAAACGGACAGAGCAGCGCTGGTCACAGTGCTCAGTGGATCGGAAAAGAAACCGAGTATCCTCTCTCCCGATGGGCTTGCGGGTCTGGACCCCTGCACCCTGGGAACGCAGTGAGCAGCAAGCCATGGCGTTGGAGGAGCCCGTGAACTTATGGGTGTTCCCGTTCTGAAAAGTTGAGCTCAGAACTGGAGGTTCCCCAGCCTCTGGGAGGACTGAGGCAGAAGTCAGGATGGCCAGCTCAGTTTGCTCCTAGAGAGAATGGAGGCCACGCCGACGCAAGCCCATGTCCTTGGCAGTAGGTTATGCCATGATTATGACTTGTGGGCTTTGGACATTTTTCCTGGTTTAGGAAGCATTCCTGTGCCAATAGATTGGCCAGTATGAACCCTTTGGGAAACCTTGGTTGACCAGGGCCATTAAGGTCGTTTCCCGCTGGTTCCCATGTCTGCTGGCATTTGTTGGGAATGTGGCCCCTGTGAGTTGCAGTCCCGTATGTTCCAGCTGGCCTTTAAAACTATAGCTTTCGGTTCTCCAATGCCATCAGCCCCAGACAAGTTCTTCTGACCTTTGCTCTGTGGTCTCTGCTCTCATGGAGTATTCTGGGGCAGCTAAGTTCTTCAGGTAGCCCATGCTGGGCAGGTGTCAAGTGGCCATCCTCTGTGGCAGGACAGAACTTAGCAGTTGACCCATGATCTTACCAGAGGCTCAGCTGACCTGCCCCTCAACAACCATCCTCCTGGGTTCCCTGTCTCCAAGGACAGTTCGAGGGGACAGTGACCATCATAGACCTACCTGCTCGTTGATCTGACACATGGTGAGGTTTTGGTCATCACAGGAACAGGCTACACGGATGTACTTGAGCCAGCTGCCAGCCCCGGCCTGATTGGCATCCACGCAGAACTTCTCGCTGCCCAAGTCTTCAGAGATCTGCTGGGGAAGAAGTACACTAGGGTCAGAGGTGGCCTGCGAGCTGTGTCACGCCGCACCGGCATCAGAGGCTCAGGCAGGATGGCAGGTTGCCTGAGACCTTCAGCCAGTCCTGCGAACCAGAGAGGCCCTGTCCACCCGGCCCACACGGTCCCGGGAGCCATCAGGAGATTGGTGGAGAGGAGGGTAGCCTTTCCTGTCCTTACACAGCGGCTCACACAGTCAGGTCAGGCAATGAGGAGTCTCCAGCATGGTAAAAGCAAGCTGTCCAGGTGCGAGAAAGCAGAGCCTTCTGCGTCTGACACAAGCCCTCTGCTAAGGACAGCGGGGTTGCTGAGCTAGCGAAAACATTTCTGAAGGTAAAGGTGTGACCAGGGTGGTGTGCAGCTGCACCTGAGTCTGGGTGTGTGTGCATGCGCACGCGTGTCCAAAGTGTGCGTGCACGCATGTGCCAGTGTGCACACACGTGCCCGTGGAGACATGCTCCCGTCGGATGGCGCACGTCACCCGGATGCCAGGGAAACATCTCATTTCCTTAAAACTGGAAAGTTTTCAGCTTGGTGCTGGCCAGCATGCAAACATCACGCTTCCTCACCACGTCCTGCTCAACAGGCGGGCCTGGCACTGGCTTCGCTTTGTTGCTGCTGGCTCCCCTCAGAGACCCAGGGTTTGCAGATCTGTGTGTCCCCCACCCCACCCCGGGCCCCCACCCTGAGGGTTGCTTGCAAGAAGACCTGGGGCCACGTGCTTGCAGCTGCAGATACAACAGTGCCTGCTCTGTTCAGTGCCTGTGGCAAGCCTGAGTTCAAACCTCCGAAGCCAACAGCAGCTGAGGTGGTTAACTAGGCACACAACAGGCAGGATGGTTGGCGGGCAGGAGTGCCCTGGGGCGGGCATCTCCAGGTGGGAAGGGTTGGACAGATAGATAGGAGAGTCTAAGCAGGCAGGAGTAATGGGTGTCTGAGGAGACCAGTGAGGTGCTCTGTTAGGGTGGGGACACCTCACCACTCGGCACATGCTTTCCAAGATCCCTGTACACCTGTGGCAGACACCGGTATTCTTCTTTTGAAAAGTTTGGCGCCGTCATGAAACAGTGAAGCCACGTGCCCTGCCTCTGTAACCCACCCATTCCCTTGTCCCCAAGGACTCTCTGACACTAAGTCAGACCCCGAGCACACAGGTGAGAAGTGAGTCTTTCTTACCCCCCCCTCCGCTCCAGAATGCTTTGTCTCCCAGCTGACGCCTGTCTGCGACCTCTGGGTTTCCGACAGAGGATGGCAGCCTACGGGTACCTGGTAGGAGAGACTCGGCGTACGGAGCAGGAGGCTCTGCGGCTCCCAGGGGCATGGCTGCACTTTGTTCAGTAACACACTGTGATGCCTGATCCCAGGGCCACGTGAACTCCCCGCGTGCTCCCTTGGGTGCCCAGTGGACTCTCGGGAAGCATGAGGCAGCAGGGACAGAAATGCGGCTAAGGACTGACTCCATCAGGCAGAGACTCGGGTTGAAGCGGCAGAGTCCTTCAACCACTCACCCTCATGCTAACCTCAGTCCAGAATCAGCTAAGAGGCCTCACCACTCCAGGCTGGCTTCGGACGAGGCCATGAAGCAACTGTATTCTGTGCCTGGGAGACGCCCACGGTGTAGATGCTGGGGAGAGCAGCCAGGGCCCCCAACCTGAGACCCCCACTTTCCTCTCAAAACTGAAACACTAGGATCCACACACTGTTGGCAAAGTTGGGAGCCCAACTGTACTCCTCTCTCAGCTTGGGGAACAGGTAAGGGTGTCAGAATGCTTCCTGAGATGCAGGACCCTCAACTCTAGAGACACTGGGATAGAGGTGTGGCCTCCCCTCCCTTCTGGGGCCCAGCAAGACCTCCCTGGGTGACTGAGCCCAGCAGAGAGAGTGTCTCACCCTAGCCAGGACACCGGGAGTTCACTCATGGCCCTGCCACTCAGGTTAGATGAAGCTACCCTTGGAGGCCACTGCCTGCCATGCTCCAATCCAGGGCCAGCCCAACCACACCACTGGGTGACCCCCACAGCCTGGAGGGGATGGAGGCAGAGATGACAGCGGCCATATGTTGACGCCACAAAGGCTGACATTCAGGAGGGCAGCCCCCCATTCTCTAAGAAGTTGGCTCAGGATACCGATCCCAAATGGGGGGCACCCTCCTTAGACATTCAGACATGTCACACTCTCTTCCCGACTGATGACTCTGCAGGAAACTGCTGAGGAGGTCAGCCCACAGGTTACAGGACCTCTATCTGATAAGGCAACTCACTCCCCTCCTGAGACACACGGACTGAGAAGGGGTAGCTGCGGAGAGACCAGTAGACCCCTTCCTCCATGCCAGAGGGGTCAGGGACTTCCTGTGGGTCCCAGCCACACAGGCCTCTAAGCAGATGGTGCTGAGTTCCCAGGGCCTGTCTCTGGCTCCCTGTCCCTCACTCTGTGTATCTTTCTCAATTTTCTGTCTCTCTCTTTTTTCCTTTATGGTTCAGGGCCTAGGGGAGCCAGTTAACAGCGCTGTGAATGGACATGTCTTCATACAGGGGCCTGTCCCCGGGACTTGGTTTCTCAGAGTTGAGGCCTATTTCTCCAAGAACAATCTTTACGAATCAGCTTGTAACAACTCTGCTAAAAGTCCTTGGGAGCTTGCTGAGACCTAGTTAGTCATATTGCATGCACTCATTTATGGTTATACATATATAGATATGTACCCCTGTGGGTATGTGTGTATAAACATGTGCATTTATATATATATTCTGTATATACATCTGTGTATACACAGAATCTTTACTCGTGTGTACACATGTGCATTTGTGTGTGTGCACACACACGCACTCAGGGGTCTTAGTCATGGGTCAGTTGGTATTATTTTTGAAGAAGACAAATTCAGTCCTGTGAGAAGGTGACCTAGGTAGCTATTGTTGCTGGCTCTAGTCTGTGACCTGTCCAGGCTCCTGTCTCTCAGGATCAATGTATGACATACACACTAGGGGAGGGGTAGCATCCTCTAGGATCTGAAACCCGCCAGGCAGGCCTGGCTCCTTACAGGTCCCTGGCACTGTTGCCTCTGCAGCGGGGCTTTGACGAACTTACAGAGATGGAGCCTAAGTGCCACTTCCTAGCTGTGGGGACCTCAGGTGGCCCACTGGGACTCTGACCAATATTTGCTGGGCTTTGGTGGTTCTTAGGATACTGAGAGAAAGGCCTGGGTCTCAGAGTGTCGAGTCTACAGCCGTAGGCAGCCGAGCGCACGCATGTCCCTGACTGCACTGGGGGTAGCGGGTGCCAAGGGCCTGACGCCAGAGGCAACCGCACCAGCCCGGCCTTCCTGACCTGGAGTCTGGCCTCTGCCTGCACCTAAGCTCTGGTGGGAGCTGTGTGTAGCTCTGACAGTCCCAAGGATGTCTGAGAGCTCACAGGACAAGAGTGCGAGGACTCTTGTGTTAGGCTCTGTTCGTACGTGAGACATGAACAGCTATGATCAAGGGCAGTTGTGTTCTCTTGGCTGCCTTTGCCGTGGCAGTGGAGTTGAACCTCCGTCCAGATTTTGGAGTTTGGGCCCTACCCACTTGAAAGCCTGGCTCTGGAGTTGAGCCCGCGGACTCCCATAATTGCTGGTGGAAGTGGCCCTTTCTGCCCATTTGCCCCCACTTGGCCTCTCAGCCACCCCCCCGCCGCCCCGTGCTCCTGCCAGCTTCCCCAGCTCATCAATCACCCCCATCAGAAATGCTGAGTTAAGAAACGAAGAAATGGAAAAAAAAGAATCCTCTTACCCTTGACAATTTTTTTTGCACATCATTTGAGGTTTCCTGCACTTTTAATTTGTGGCTCTCTGCTGGGGCTAACTCTTTCACATTTAATGGGCATGGCCAGGGCCTGGCTCCATCTGGGATGTGCACACAGGCGGGAATACAGAGGCGTCTGTCGTCAGCTCACCTAATGGATTCCCAGGCCTGCCGGACGGAGTGAGGCCTCGGGGGTCACCTTGTTGGCCTGTGCCCCGTGGCAGCCCTAGAAGTTCACAGTGCGATGGGTGTCCCACTGCCCTCCTCCACACCTGCATGCACACCTGGACGCACACACTAACATGGACACACATGCACACACATGCATAGAGGCGCATGTGTGAGCTCACACACGCACACACACACACACACACACACACACACACACACACTGGTTACGATTTACGACATTCACAAGGAGCTGAAACAGAAAGTCCGTTCTTGTGACGGAAAGAGGAGGGCAGGCCTTCTGGAGACACCTCGGTGTGGCGGACATGGAGCCTGAATGAGCTCATAAATCTGGACCTGATGCTCATTATGGGCTTGGTGGTGACATGACCAAGTGCTAAGCAGAAACACGGCGGCAGGATGGGGCCCTACTGCTGCCAGCAGACAGGGGCCTGGCTGCAGAGACCAGGAGGTCGGGGGGCCCATCTGTTCAAGCTGAGCAGGAAGGAGTCAAGAAACGGGAGGGAGAGAGTAGTGGCGTGTGTTTTCTGGGACTCATTCCTGGAAGGAGTTGCCTGGGACTTTCTGACCTTGGCCTTCACTGGACAGTTGCCAGGGCAGTGGTGCCTAATGGAAGCATGGGATGGGGTAGAGTTACAGGGTCTTGGACAGACCCCAGAGCGTGGCTGGCTCAGGGTTTGGATGCTGCAAAAGACAGCGTTGCTGCCTGACCCCCAGGGACTCTGCTGACAGGTGCTGGTGATGTCCCAATTCCACACCTGGAGAACTTGGCTCCTATGTCAGTCACGGATAGGTCCCCTTGTCTCAAAGCCACACCAAGGAATGCGTGTCACAAAAAGTCACCGAATTCCACATTTTCCAGCGTCTGGGCCCCACACAGGCCTTTGCAGAAGGTCTGAAGGAAGCCGCTCAGACACCCAAATGCCTCGCGAACACTATGAGGTTCCCGGCGTTCTTGCACCCAGCCCTCGGAACTCTGAGATTCTAGGCTGTGTGCAGACATCCCAGACTCACA